TTTTATATATTGAACGCAGCGTGAATTGGTTTGAGGGATTATTCAGAAAAGTTGTTTATGCACAAAAGCACAAGGCAGTGAGTGTGATTGCTTTTTCATGTTCCATCTGATGATGGTGATGATATCTGTACTCTGTACTCTGTACTCTGTACTGTTCTGCTCTGCTCTGGTTTGAGGCCTGGTCCGGTGCTGATGTCACAGTGGAAATGGCTTCATTTTGTTATTTATAAATTGCATTTGCCCTGTTTCTCTCTATCCCATTGTCTTGTCTCGAAAGTTTTCCCCCACAGACCCAACTTTTATTTGCTGCTGCTGCTGCTGCTGCTGCTGCTGCATCGCGTTTCTCGGTTTCACTTTTGGGCTAACTTATTTTTAGATACTTGTTTGGTATGAAATATCTCAAGGGACGCCTCGGTCCACTCCCTGGCTGGCTGGCTGGCTCTGGTTCTGGCTATGCTGCTATTTTGGTATAATTTTCTCGCCCTGCTTTCTGGTTTATTTTCAAATTTAGCTGCATTTATCATTTAGTTATTTTATTTTTTTTTGAGATTGGTCCACTCGAACTTGTCTTGTCACGGAAAATGGTGATTAAAAATAGAGTTTATTCGAATTTTTTTCTGGTGCTTTGCATCTTACAAACTCAGGAATTAAGGAGATTTATCATGTTTATTTTTTAAATATGTGTAGATACAATGTTTTTTTAAAATCTAAAAAATCAAAATGTATTTGTCTGGCAGTAAAAATGATTGATTGGACGTAGAAAAGATTTTCCAAATGAATGATGTCAGAATTTCTAGTATATTTGGAGGTTGCTTTGAGTTGATTTCATTGACTGCTAAGTGAGCTTTCAATTATAACTACAGTTTAACTTTATTAATGTATTTTTTGACGTTGACGTCTTTGGGAACTTTGGGTCCATAAATCTGCAGGCATATCCGTTCTATCTATGCTGTGAAAGACCGTAAAATTGTCTCTTGAATTTATATATTTTTGTGGATATGGGCACTGCGAATGCCGAGTACAAATTATGATAAATTGTATCATAGAATATTTATTTTATTTATTGTCCAAGCATACCCTCAATTTACACTCCATTTAGCTACCATTCAAAAAAGCATCTTAGCTTAGGCCAATATTTTTCTGATAGATTCTGTAATCGCCCGTCATGTTTTAGTTGCGATAATTTCTTAATAAAGAAGACATTCTGTCAGGAAAATATATTTTAAATCGTATATTTGATCAGAATGTTTAATAATTTATTCAATTTTGTTGCAAATTTCCATACATATATGTATATCCTACAAAAAACGTTTTGTTGAAACATATGTATGAGATGTGAAGATAGCCCATATATATATAAAGGTGTATTATAGATTCCTATAAATAGGGAATTCTTGAAACTAATTTTAAAATTTTTCGCACGTAGGAATATCATGGATATGTATGAGGCATGGCACGGATGATGATGATGATATCTAGACATATGCAAATGCCACAATTCAAACAAATCACAAAATTGTTGACAGTTTGCCCAGAGTTTTTGGGTTTTAATTGCTTTTCATCTTCTTCGTTCGCTTGAGTGTATAAATATTTAAGGCTAATAGTTTTCAATCGTTTACAAAGCTTAATTTCTGTGCAAATAAATTCGGTTGGCCACTTTTAAAAGGCATTCACATCTCTTTAATTGACTCTTGAGGTTGCTTCATTGGTCGATGTATCTACATATGTGTGCATGTATTTTGCAACTATTATTGTATGTGTTTAGAGAACTGGCCGCTGCCTTGGAAGTCAATATTTGAAGAATCTGAAAGTACGAGATTCATTTGCCTTTGCCACTAAACTAAGAAACTTTATGGTTAGGTGTGAAATAAATAGAAACAGCATTAAATCTATCTCGGGACAAAGGAAATATTGTGCCGAAAGTGCCCGTTCGAGAGCGGAAATCTTTGTTTATGCGAAAAAATGTTTGCCAAAAGTCTATGTATTTGAGTGCTGGAGATGGATAAAAATATATTTTCTAAAATTAGGCAAATGTATACACAAAACATATATGATACTGGATCGGCAGAGTATATGTATTTATATGAAGCTTACGTTTGCATAAAAATCATAAAGATTTTCACAATTTTTTGCAACAAGGCAAACTCATTTGCTTTAGTGGAAGAATGTTGATCCTTTACTGTAATCCTAATAAGATATTTTTTATCCAAAATTTTGCCTTTTGTTTCCGTTCCTGCTTACTAAAATTCATCTGAATCACCGCTCCAAATTCGTATATCTAATTATAATTTGTGCTCTCTCCTATCTAAGTTACCAGAAAATTACTTACGAGCACCGCAACCTCTTTGGCCTTTTCAAGTGCCTGCCACTTAACAACAGCATTTTACAACCCGCTCAGTGGCTCGCACACACACACACAGCATCATCAGATTGTAAATAATATGATGCTATAAAATTCCCTTGAACATGTGAATCCTCTCACGAAGGCGCCACTTGCCGGGGCTGTTGCTCTGGCTGCTGTTTTTGGGGTGCCAGCTGCTGTAGTCCCACTATTGTTTACTTTTCAACTTGTTGTTGTTCTTTACATATTTAAATTTTACATTAAATTTCAAGTGTTGCTTGAGTGTGTGGTTCCATAGTTATGGTCATAAGTACACAATTAAGCATTGAAAAATGTAATTAAAGCTAGGCTATGGACTAATATTAAGCGGATGAATAAGCAGAGGAATAATTCACTCTTTTACTTCAGCTGTTACTTATTTTAACAGAATTGGTGTCCGGTCTTGGACCGACTGTAATGTTTTTCCCTTTGTAGATCCGCTTACTGTTTATGATTGAGTTAACATTTTTCGTTTGATTGCTTTCAAAATAATTTAAATAAGTCGACCTCTCTCTGCGTTTTATGCATAATTATAAATTGTCTGTGCATAACAAATTAAATTGCGTTGCAATTGGAAATTGCCAATTGCCATAGGCCATTTGAAGTGCAACAACTAATGCAACTCCAGATTTGAAGGTCAACTTCTTACTTGACAACAAACATCATCGAGGTATGAGATATTATGTATATCAAATGCAATGCAATCACCAAAGCGTGACGTCATGAGTCTGGTCTGGTGCGGATTTAAAAATATAAAAACTGGTTTTTTTGGTTTTGTTGGGAATATTACCCTTGCAGAGGGTATTATGATTTTGTTTAGATGTATCGGGCTTCTCTTTTGCACTTTGCGCTTGTGCGTCTCCCAGCAGTAAGAGCAGCTGGGAGCAGGGACATGCCGTATCACGGAGCTGAAAGGGTATCTTAAACTTCGGTTTCTTTCTTTTCTGCTCTACGCCGTTGTAAATAATAAACAAAAGCCAAACTCAGCTGTATTGTGTAAGCTACAGAGAAAAGCCTTTTTTGTTTTTTGGTTTTCCAGCTTCTATTTTTATGAATGACTTTCATGAATTGTTTGCTGGTGTAAGTTGAGCTTTGCCATGCGCTGACCGACCTACATTTCGATACGCAGAGGAAACGACATATTTCTGAGCATGCATATTACATTGCCAACGTTTGTAAACGTTTAACGAGCACACGGGGGATAATACAAAATAATACGAAACAACCCCTTTAACAGGCAGGTAATTGCTATTTTCTCACGCTTCATGATGTCATGCAGCAAAAGGTGTAAGGGAATTACAATAACAGACGAAAAGGCAAGGCTGTAAGAACTTGAAAATGCCACCCATTCATGCAGAAGAGCAAGAGCGTAAGTGTATTAGACTGACAGAGCGAGAGAGTGGTAGAGAAAGAGAGGCGGAAGAGGGCGAAAGCCCGTCGAGAGAGAGGAAGAGAGTGCAAAATGTTAAGCTTTGGCTTCGCTTATCATTTTACTGACACTCTATAAATAGAGCTTTTTTGATTTAAGTGAACTTTTGACGGAGGCTCATACATAAGCAAAAAAGAACTGTTTTTTGAGGATAGGAAACTTTAGCCACTTATTTGGTTTAATTAACACTGGAACTTAAACTGGATTAACACTTTTTGGGTTCATTGCGATTAATTAAGGGGCTAAGGATTAATTTCTAGTCAAAATTGTTGTATGTAGTCCCTACACACTCCTTAAACAAATCCTCTATAATTTGAGAAAATATTCACAATTATAATTATAAAAGTGCAGCCATAGTCTCCTATCTTCCCTTCTCAAAAGCCGGCTACTGCGCCCCTGACCTCAAAATAATAACACGGCCGCTTGCTTTAATTTTTTGGAGAGGCAGAGAGCTTGAGTGTACGTGCAGCTGTACATGGACTGGGAGTGTGGGGTAGACAACAACAGCAACATATTCCAAAGTGCGTAAATAAGGCACTCTCTTACTCTCGCTCAGTTGGCTCTTTTAAGCCCGTGGCTCTCAATGTCTCTCACGCTTAAAAAAAAGAAGCAGACAAATACCAATACATTGCCACAAGGAGAGCAAGAGGCAGAGACAGAGAGAGAGAGAGAGAGAGAGAGAGAGAGAGAGAGAGAGACTGGTTGAAACATGAGCTTTACTACGATTACTATATGCCACTGGGCTGCTGCCTGAGACTGCTCCCCGGACAAGGCGTAGCATGTTGAACGACGACGGCGATACGACGATTCAGTTAGTATCGAACCGGCTTTCTACCCCAACGGATTGGATTGGGGCTTTTGGAAGCGAAAAAGCGTGGGCCCATAATATAATGTGAGCCATCTACAACAGAGTGCATATACTCGAATACGCGGAGTCAAATCAAAAGAGTGAAGTGGAGTCGTGAATTTGCTGAAAAAAGAAACAACTAATTTGAATCTTATGTGTGAGAATTTGTTCTTACCAAAACAACGCAAAAGGGAGCGAGCGTCTCTGTGTGTGAATTGTGTGTGAGGTTTTACGGCCTAAAAAGCAAAAGTCTGACGTGATTAAATAATAAAAGAAGTGGCTTATTATTTGCTTTTAAACAAATTAAATTTAAATTGCGTGCTAGGAGGAGGTGAAGGAAAACCGAAGGCCAAACGCCGGGGGTTGGTTTAAAGGGGAAAAATCTTCCTGTGAAAATCCATGCCCGAAATGAGTGTGCGTGTTGCGTGAGAAAAATCAATTTTGGCATTTTGAACGCACAGCCAGAACCAGGCACCAGTCGGCAACCAGAAGGAACGAAGGAAAAAAGGGCTTGTCCAAATGAGAATTTGCCATAACGAAAGGAGTTTAACGAAATCAATGCTATCATGGCTGATAGCACAGATCCAGGCAAGGATCCAACCATAGATGCCGGAGGAGGTGGAGCTGCTGACGCGCCTCCAATTCCAGCTGTTCGGCGTCGTCGTGCGCATGAGCATAAATCCTCCTCAAGGGAGAATATTGAGGAGCAGGAACAGCTGGAGACATCCACAGTGACGCGAACGTACATGAAAACCATTACCACATCCTTGACAACATCCAGCAGTAATCTAGAAGAGGAATATTCTGCCAGCAGCAGCTCGAACCCAAACCAGCAACGTTTGCGCCAGAAGGTGGCACAATATGAAAAGATCTGGTCGGATGGCACTGCTGCCAGCGGCAAACGCACCGCTGAGGTGAGCTCCGAAGAACTACGACAAGACTCGAACCAGGATGATGACCCGGAGAATCCCTTTGACATTGATGTGCACGAGATTGAGCGACGCTTGCGTTTGGAGCGACAACGCGGCATGGCCGAGGCGGAGGCAGCCAAGCTTGCCTTCCAGCAGGTTCAACTGCGGCACACAACACCGCCACCGCCACCGCCGTCGTCGCTGCCACGTCGCGTGGAGGTGACCAGCGAGCAGACGGCCAGCCCGTTTAATGTGACCTTGAGAACCACCAGTCGGATGAGCCCCGGTGCCGATCATGGGAATGTGGAGGAGCAGCTATCGCCCTTTAATGTGACGCTGCGTACGACCAACACGCGACGACACACAAGGAAGGTGGAACTGGAACGCTTTCTCGAAGGCGAACGAATGGTGAGAGAGGTGCCCGCTGCCGATGGGGTAAGGACCATCATTACCTCGTCGATGACAAGCGATGGGGGCTATGCCGAGGAGAAAATCTATCGCCATGGCGAGGGATATGTTTCTCCGCGTGACTCACCCTCGTGGTCGCGCTCGCATTCCAGTTACTCCGGCAGTGAGAGGTCCAGTGTGACGCCACCGCGTAGCGTTGACTTGACCGCCGGCGGTAGAAGGATACTTATTAAGCTGGAGAATGAAACCGAACTGGGAGCTGGAACCGAACTAAACGACGAAACAGATTCAAGTGCCGTGAATCGTCGGCACCAAGACGTGGCCATGGCAACGGGCAACATTGACATTACCGTTGGTAGCAGCAACCCCCGCAGGCGTTTATACCAACAAACAACTGTCCAGGTGGGTGGCAACGTAGCACCGCCACAACAACTGCAACAGCAACAGCAGCAGCAGCAGCAACAGCAACGTCCCAGGGAACTTTCCCTCGAAACTGGAGGAACAAAGAAAAAGACAATGCTACTAACATCCACGCCGATTGGCACGAAGGAGCAACCGCAGGAACCAATCAGTCCAGCTGGAACGTGCCAATTGCGTGGTTCTTCAGCGGAAGAGCAACGGAAAATTGTAAGCCACAAAACGATAACCACTACCGGTAGCAGCACCACGAAATCGAAATCGAAATCCTCGACCTCCTCCTCATCCACATACACGTCCACTTCGCGCAAATTAATCGACGATTCGCCGTCCCCGTCCGCTGGGAATATCTCGTTTACGGCCTCGCAAATAAGTCTAAGTCGCGATAACGTATCGAACGCCGGCGATATTATCGATAACGATTCCGATACCGAAGGCAGACCGGCCAGCAGCATTGTGATTGTGTCCACACCCTCACGCTCTGTGACCCCATCAACGCCCAGCACGACAGCAGCTCACGCCCACGCCCACGCCCACGCCCACGCCCTCAGCGGCATTGGCACTTTCAGCAAGAGTCTGCGACAGGATTATCAGACTCAAGTACAGCAAAGTGGCAGCCGTGGCAGCAGCAGCAACGAAAACGAATACCAGGAATTCCAATCCACAATGGCGTCGATCAATTTCGCACGCAGCAATTCCCAGTACGACAGTCATATCAAGGAGAAACGAGGTAAACTTTAAGACAGAAGAACGGATAGAAAATTAGGTCTTTTGTTGCATTCTTGGTTTTGGGTTAATTTATAAACATTATTCTATGCCTCAAAGTGTCTTTTTTGAACCAACGTTAATCTCTGTGAATAAGACTGAGAAGCCGTCTTACCCTTATTTATGCTATTTTTTAGGTCTTTCCCTACCCAAATTCTGCCATATCTCAACTAGTTTTAATGTCCATATTTGAAAATCAATATGGGAGCTATTCCTTTTGGTTCCCATACCAAATACAACTTGTCCTCTTTTCCAATTAATTTTTTAACGAAACTTCTTAAGTTTTTAGTGCAAATTTCTTGCTAGATTTATTTAATATTATTTATTTGCTTTTATTTATGTACAAGTATTAATTTAATGGAAAAAAATGACTTAATCAATTTTGAGAATTATAAACAGATTTGAAACAGTTTCTGTTATCCTTATCGTGGCGAATGACGTTCGTTTGCTTATCAATATAATTTTAATAATGTGCTGCCAAATGTTTGACTAATGGAACAGGTGTTAAAGATAGTATTTTGAGATAACTAAAAACTGCAATAATCAGACACTATCTCCCAAGACGTTCCTGGGAATCGATGTAGCCATTCGAGACCGTTGTAAGTTATAGCCAGATGCCAAGAGCAATAGAATGTCAAGGTCAGATCGGCGGTACTTTGTGGTTACACAGAGAGAGAGAGAGAGGTAGAGAGAGATGTAGACTTAATTAATTATTACAGACAAACAATCGATAAAATAAACTGCCAAAATGACATCATCCCATCCATCCCATCCACTGCCTTGCCGCAGGCCGCTTGACGACATTTGTCGTCGGCACAATTCAAACTTCCAACTTGTTTAGACGTTCGTCTGCTGCTGTTTTGCTTATTTTGTTATAAGTCAGTCGGTTTGTTGGTCGGTCGATTGTTGCGCCGTGCCCTGAACTTCTACTTAGCGAGTTATACGAGTATTTGAGTATTATTTATATAGTCGACTCTCGCACTCTCGCGCACACACACACACAGTGCGTTTGTTATGTATTCGACTGTTGGCAAGCAGCGTTACCTTACCTCTTTCTTGCCCACCAACAAAATTTATTGGCAGCCAAAATAGCACTCGAAGCACACTCGGCCCATCAAACTACCCCCCAAAAGATATACTGAGGGGAGACAAACCGACTAAGGTGGGTCTATTATGTGACCTCCTCTACTCGGCTGTTATTATGTTAAGCACAACAACCAATTAAGTGTCGGGCAGAGGCAGGCAAGAAGGCAGGCAGGTTGGCTGTCTGTCCCCCTTTCTCGTCTTTCTCTTTTTTGCTATCTTTCTATATAAATACAATCGCACTTTTTGGCTGCACTTGACGATAATGTACATAGCCATCTATCTATCTTTATGTATCACTTGTATCTATAGATACGCCCTGACATTCACTTGTCTGCATGCATTATCTATTAAATAGTATATACATAAATGATTATCATGGTGAAGTCTCCGCTTTTATGGATATTTCATGTTCTGCACTTTATTTGGGACTTTCCAAAAGTTTTGTAGATTAAAACGTACAGGTGACTGGCTGGTGAAGATTTCAAGTTCAAGATAACTTTTGCGTTTTTAATGGAAAAGTTACAAAAAATATGCTTACTCTGCCTTGTTTTTTGTACGGTATTCTATAGCACAACTCGATAATATTGTAAATCGCTAGACATTTTTATGTGACAATTTTTATTGTGACAGTTTTAGTATTTTATTTTTGCCAAGAAAGGTAAGTTCGCTGGAAAGGAAGTTCCTGTCAAACATTTTGATGTGGCGTGTTGCCCGAAAAGAAGTTCTCGACTTGGCGATATTTATTTGTTTGAGAAAGCAACGAAAGGTGCCCTAAATGTGTGCTCTCACCCAGTGTTTGAGTATCGTGAAATGCTCTTGACATACACAAACCACCCAGCACACATCACTTTATAAATTTCTAATAAAATGTATAAATGTACGTCAAGCGTTCACTAATTGATGGCTGAGCAGAGTCGTCCCGTCCCCCATTTGTATCTAGTATATTGAACTATTGATTGGGTTAGTTTTTGACTTTGTTTCGCTATACACGGGGCTTCTGTCCCACTTTCCAAACAATTATATACTTAATGTCATTTTAATGGGTGTGCAAAAACACAACAAATAAAACCTGTCGACTCTTTCGAATATTTATAATATCGATTGCTTGCGGTAAACGCTCGCATCTACATTTTGAAGGTTCATCAAAGCCACAATTCAAAACCAAACAAATGTTACCATAAATATGATTTATGTGGCTCGTCAAGAGGGAGAGAAAGACAGAGCAAGGGAGAGAGAAAGGGACATTCAATGAAAATTAACAATATAATTTAAGACAAAAGGAAAACGGTAACGAGAAATTAAACCTGTCTCTTTTTCTAAGAAAAATGTCTGCTGGATTATTCGTATTTTAATTCAATTCAAAAGTAGATTGTACTGTAGAATTTCGAAACTTGTAAGCACTTTGTTCCTGGGACTGTGAAAATGTTGTAGCAATTTTTGTAATATGTTGAAATTTGTAGTTTTATCTTTAGTGGGGCCGGCTCTCATTTCTGAACATTTTTATATTGTTTGAGTTCTAGTTTCTGAGATTCTACACTATTCGTATTTGAGAAAAAAAAACAACTACAAAAAACTCCATCTAACGTTATCTGATGTGATCTATGTGTCGTATCCGTCTGTCCGCCTGTGTGTCAGAGTGTAATCTCACACACACACAATATCAACGGAACGGAACAATCCCAGAACAATGAGCGGCAGCCGTACAACTGAGATCATCGTTGAATTATTTATTGAAGCAGCTAGCGCTCTTGCTAGCTGTCATTGTTGCTGCTGTTATTGTCGGCGTCTGTCCATCTGTCAGTCTCTATATTATTTATTGTTCAATGTTTTAGTTTAGCGGCATTTAATTGATGCCTAAAATGTGGTCAGCCAGTAGATGGCGCCCCACAAAGGTGTCATTGAAATCAGAGATGAGTTTTGTAATTTAATAACTAAAAAAATGTACAGAAAATCAAAGTATGTAGTGACACTGCAAAATCTTTTCTTCAGATACAAAAGTATGCTATTAACCCATATAAATTATGCTCTGATGTGGGTGTTCTGGTCCTCATTATCTATAACTTTCAGTAGCAAATTTTTGTTTGCCATTTGTGGCAGTTCATCTTCTGTCTGTATAAGTAGAGCGGACTTGAAGTCCTCCTACACATCTTGTAGCAATTTTTTCTTAGTATATTTAATTCGACCACAGGTCTTCTAGTTCTTTCTTGCAAGCAGATTCTGGCCTATCCTTTTCCACATGTTCGTACAGCATTAAATCTTCTGCTTGCAGATAACTGATTGATCATTAGCAGTTCTTATGCTGTAGATATTTTTGCAGCGAATTCTCACAGATGTTAGTGGCATGTGGCATAGAAATTTTCAAATATCCGCTTCCCTCCTACTTCCATCATTATTTTACAGCTACGATTGTGGGCAGAAGAATCGTTTGAAGTTTTTGTGGTAGCGCTTCTTTGATAGATTTTTATTCTTCCCACTTTGCTGCTTTGTAAAGCAAATAAAATTGATTTCTTTTTAAAGTATACCCCACATATTGTGTGCTTTTTTTTTAGGTGATCCATCATTTATTTTCTTGCCTTATCTGTTTGGTTTAACTTGAATGGTATAAATGACAAAAATAAACAAATAAACGCCTCTAGATTTTGGTATATGTATGTATATGAGATACTTATCATATACCTTAATCGTCTCTAGCATGATAAAATAGCTTGTCTATCCATGAGTACACATGTACATTTGTATATAAAATACGCTATACATATCATATTTGCTTCCAATATTTTCAAGTAGCTGCGAAAGAAAACAATTTATGACATGTTCAACGGGAGATGGGTGAGGCACACAGACACAACCTGTTAAAGGCACTCAAGCGTTAAGTTAAGTAATACCACAGACGCTGTCAACAACATATTGCCTCCCCAACCAAAAAGATTATTTATGCACAGTTTTGTCTTATTATATTATACAAATATGGACCGTCGAATGAGGGTGCCAAACAACAAGTGCATCCTCATGACACACCTCAGTGGCTTTCAGTGGGTTCTGTGGATTAAAACTAAGTTTTAATATTACAAAAATATAAAAAATTTTTGCATTCTGTGAAATATTCTTTGGAATTTTTAACTTGTGCTTTTAGTGGCTGACTGTAACCTTTAGCTCATATCTTACACACAAGGTCAACAACTTTGGTTTCACCTTCCTGTTGAATTATATCTCTATCTAGAACTGAACTTTGGAATAAAATCTTTAAATGTCGGAGACAGCTTTAGTTTAGATAAAGTTACTTAATTTTTTGTTGGTGGTTATTAATATTATTTTCTTAGCTTGTGAGATAGGCAAAGGCATTTCCTATATGATAATTTTTCATAGTATAAATATTCTGTAACATTTTTAAATATTTATCAGCATTAACTTCTTTAAAATATTTATATTTATTGCTTGTAGATTTGGAATTGTACAATTTTGAATGTTAACAACTGGGGTAATGTAAATGGGGGGTATTTACAAAACGTACTCTAAAAACTCTAAATTTCAAGCAAATAAACATGAATATTTGTATTACGGAAATCCCCTGCCAATTGCGCCTCGATTCCCCCTTGGAATTCAACGCATTTCCGTTGCTTTTGCCCCAAAAACATATGCTTTATATCGGTTCTTCAGTCAAACATTTCGAACAACGAATACGCAGAGAGCACAGCACAGAACACAACGCTCCCCTCTCCTCGTATCGCATCGATTCGATTGGCTTTTGTTTATGCAAATGTAAAAGAACATTTTCTTGTATTTTTTTGTGTGTGTGTTTTTTTTTCGTGTTGTGAGGGAAACCCAAACAATTAGCTATGCGTGAAAGTAAATAAACTATTTTTACCATTGGAATACTTCATTTTATTCGGGTTTTCAGCTTCATTTCTATTTGCGGTGTTGTTTTCCGTCTGTAACTAGGCCAAACCCCAGACGAATGGGCGACTGACCGAACAGATCTGCCCTTTTGCAGTAGTAGTTTTCTTTCTTTCTTTTTTCTTTAACTTTTTCTATAATATAATAAGTTGCATTCATTCATAATTTTTCAATGATTTTTTAAGGAACTACCTTGTACTTTTAGATACGCTCATTAAACAGAAAAAATACCAAAATGAGCATAAATAATAATCAGTCGACCCATCAGTATAATCATCATCATTAACTCAGTGACTGACTGACTGACTGGCAGACAGAACCCCTCCATTCATAAGAAGCACCGACAAGAGAAGAAAACAATTTATCCCCAGCTTTTGGTATTCTTTGTATTCTTTTGTTGTTATGTTTTTGGGGATCTAGTGATCATTTCATACATCATTATTGAAATGGAAATTGAAATAAAAGCCTGTAAAGCCAAAAGTCATTCAACTTGAACGTTTAATCGTTACTCTTTGGCCTGGTTTTTGGCCCTATTGTTAAAGGTTTGGTGGACCTTAACATGGAACAGCACGCTCCCGAAAGTTTGCTTCGTAGACTTTTCGATAGGCTTTTACTTTTACTCAGCCGTGGGAATTTCGTTTGTGGAAATTGAGAATGGCATTGAATAAATACAAAAATGTATTTAAATGGTAATGGAAATAGCAAACAAAGAGCTTTTATTGCAAAAAATTGATTTTCCCTGAAACGTTTTTTATTTGGTTTTAACCAGAATTATGTGGCATAAAATTAAGTTTAAACCAGTTCGAACTGTAATTGAAACTGAGCGATACTTTTTAGCTATAGATGTTGCTGATGTTTAACAATTTCTTTGCACGTGCCAAGAATTAAGTCTCCAGAAAAATGTGTACCTCTTCTTTGAGAGAGGGACCACTTCTTTAATGAATTCACTTTTACTTGATTAGAAACAACACAATATCTCTCCTTGTTTGTCCAATGACCTGATACGGGTAATCGTATTCCCAAACAATTAAGTTGTTTTGGCCAAAAGTGTAGTTCCTCCTCTTCTTCTCAGACTCGTTTAGAGTAAAACCGGAAATATTTGGTTAAAAAAAAACTCCTCTTCTGACCATGCTTCTGGCATAAATTAAGGTGCCACAAAAATATCTACCGCATTTGGCATACACTGAATAAATTAAATTTTTAAAATAAAAACTAGTTTTTCCATAACATTTTGAGTCTTGCTTTCTGGCCAAAAATAAATAAATGTACGCCGTTGATTAGTTCATATTTAGTAGGTCATAAATCATTTGTACTTTTGTGTTATTATTTTTCGCTGTTCAACAATTTTTATCAGACAAAAATAGAAACAAACATGTGATGATTATTGCAAAGATAAAGAGTGGAATCTACTTGGACATTCTATAGATTAAAAAAGGTATTTTCTACTGGTTCAAGTCTAATTTTAAACAAAAGTTTTTCTGTGCACTCCGCTCTGATACCGTTGACTCTGTCTGTGGTTCTATATTCCCAAAGGGATCGCGATGTCAATAGCTTTTTTGAAGCTTAAAATCCTCAGATATTGTTTTTTGAAAGGTCGGAAGGCACAACATTTATAGTAGACTGCAGTTATGTAGAAACTTTAATATGTACATAATAAAATACAAAATTTGATGATAAATACGGGTCAAGTAATCTTTGGGGATTAGAAAAAAATAGTTCAGTTGTGGATATTATTGGGGGAATCTGTAGTACGTGCCTATGAAGGCATCATTTAAATGATCGTTTTCAATAAAGGCGGATCGAACGTTTTTCCAAGTTATAAAACATTTTCAATGTTCTTTTTGAGAATTATTCCCCCTTGAGAATGTCACATTGAAAAATTCCTTCACTAATTTATTATAGATCTTATGCTACATCAAATGTTTACACGCCATTAGGGAACTTTTAAACTGTCGCAGCCAAAATCACACAAGTTTTGATTTGTATTTAGAACCTTGTCTCAAGTTCATTTTAATGAATAAATTGCAAAATATCTAAGAAATATTTATTTCAAATTAGAAATACTAGCACATATGTATGTATATTTATGTGCAATACATAAATACGAGTATTTTTTTGAGCGACTTTCAGTTGCTATTGCAAATTGTTGGCAACCTTGAACTAATTTCTATTTAAATAATCTTTTGTCAGCCTGAGAAAATTGCGTCACTACCGAATTAAATGAATGAAATTTAAAATTCTAGAAAATAAACGTTGGAAAAGAGACAAAAAGTACATATAATTTCAAAATGATTTGTGTCTCAAATTAATTATTACAATTTGTGTTCTTACTTTGTAAATTGTTGTGATAATTGGCTTTAGAGTTCGGCAATTTCGATTTATTTTATATAATAATTTTTATTCCCAGCATTCTTCGTGTCTGACTGTAGAAGTTTTCCATAAATTTGTTATTTATTATGAGGAAATCTATTTTTGTATCGTAGTATTTTTCGTTGGCATTTGTTTGGACAATTGCCAGGGGAGCCAATCCAATAGACCACGCACCCATGGACCATGTCTTTGTTTTTTTTGAGACAAAAAGGGGCTTATGGACAGCTGCTGGCTGCCATTCCATTTTAGCTGCACTTTTCCCCGCCCCAAATGTGGATGCGATGGCTCTTCTGGTTGTATGTGTTTCGTTGGTTAATTGTTTACAAAAATGTTCAGGTTTTTTAGCGTTTTGTTTATTATTGCAATTTTTCGGCTCTGAAAATTAAATTGAGGTAATTAAACCACACAAAAAAATGTCTGAAATATGGGGAGTAAATATTTGCTTTGGCCAGTCGGGTGGGATTTCTGTTTAAAATTTGTTGGTCTGTTCTTTGACGTAGGCAAAAGGTCAACGATACTATTTGGAAATTTATAAATATTTTGTGGCTAATGGCTTATGGATTTCTTAGATTTGATGTGTTGAGAAATTAGTCATATGAATGATTCATTTTTAAGGAAATCTTTGCTGCCAGAATAGCTCTCCCAGTCCGGTTGTTCCAGTAAAAATCTTACTAGGTTTGAGCTATCGATGAAGGTACATATGTACATGTGTGATATAGATGCAGAAAAATCTAGATATATTTATTATCCAATCTACACGAATTTGTATCTATATCTTGATAGTGTTTTACTCCTTGACGCAGTTTCTGAAATGCAAGTCAAACATACAACAAACTTTTAAAGCTGAGAAAGCCACAATAAAAAGTTTGGCGATAAAAATCTCACCAAAAACAAAACATGATGTCATCGTGTTAATTTCCTTTTATTCGTACGACTTAACTGATAATTGAATTAATGCAAACATTAGCGACAAGCCAAGCGCAAGCAAAAAATAAACAAAAACGGCTACAAGTACCTTGTACCGTGTACCTACTAGGAAATGCATCTTATCGGGTGTCTTTAGGTCTCGATATCTTGTTTTCATTTTTCGCCGCTGTTGCCTTTTAATTGCAAATGCAGAGCGGCAGTACTTTATCTCATTTTCTAATGTTTTTCCTTTTCATTTTCTTACCTTTGCAGAGGAGCAAGAACGTGTGCAGAAGAAGACATTCACTAATTGGATTAATTCATACCTATTGAAGGTGAGTCGAGTATCTAGTATCTATCTATCAATCCGTATGCCCATCGATTTTCTTCAAACGTCTTGAGTGTGCAAATGAATTTTGTCTACATTTGGTGGCATTGAAATTTGCATATTGATTATTTAGATAAACGTGAAACGTGAGAGGTTTTTGGTTTCTGGCCAAATCCAAATACAACTAAACCCGTAGTCCAAAAAATAGGTTAAAGGGCGTGTCATTGTCGCCCATTAGCTAATGCAAAAACGGATTTCAAGCGTGATAAGCATATTTAAGCATTTATTTCACAAATATTTTCACTCATAATTATGATGGAAATAATAAGCACAGAAATGATTGTTCATATAATTTTGATTGAAATGATATGAAAAAGCTTGACATTGAAGGTCGTCATTTTGGGTTGCTTATTGTTCAGAGAATCCGTGAAAAGTGTAATATTTCTGTGTTAATATTAGTTTTTATTGGGGTGTTTGTGTGATCTTTTCATGTACAGATAAGTTGGATATGTCATATGCATGTCTAGATATTTTCTTTCAGACGCAGATGGCCACGAGTGCTTAAAAGAGTTTCTTCTTACTTCTTCTATGAGCTTGCTACTCTCCTTGCGAATATGTGATATGTACATACTTATTTCATTAGCATACGCGTACGAGTATGTGCATACCTCTTCGTGTTGTGGCAAACATTTATCATGTCTTAAACATATTCAAACCATGCACGGTACACAGCACTCTTCTGTGCTATTCTTCGGTTCGAAGTCTTCCAAGAATAACTTTCAAACACGCACCGAAGCCAAGAACCAATGCACCATGGGCAAATCTCTATTGTTCACGTCTATTTTGTGATTTTAAGGATTTAATATGTATGCATAATGTTTTCTCTTGCCCGAAAATTTGGCAGTTAAATGATAAAATAATTGTATCAAAAATATCCGTAATGGTTTTTTTCATACTAAAACTTCTTCAAATTAAATATACATAAAAATAATATATGCAAAAAATCGGGGACTTCGCCCATGGTGCAATGCAAGAAATTCCACACAAGACGCATTTGTGTCTATGAAAAGAAACCACATCAACAGAGAGTAAAAAAAAAGGGGAGAGAGAGAATGGCAGAAATTGTCTGCTGTTTTTGAGACATGGCTTAAAGTAAAGTCAAGTCGTGGACGCAACAAGAGAGTTGCATTAATATGTCGTACGGAGATAGTTCCGTTTCGGGCCACAGATTGCAATTGCCATTAACCCCAGCATGAGCAAAGCCCACGCGACCGCCTACTGACTTACTTTTACCCCAAAACCCGAAGCCCAGATAGTGGATTTAATGCTGCAAGTCGCGAGTCACAGAAGAGTGTGGGGAGTCGTGTCAGAGTAAAAGGCAAGAGCATGAGTGAGTGCCATGTGGCGTTTGTGTGTCTAATGTGTTATCTTTTAATACCAACGGCAATCTACAGACATGAACCGGCAATTTCTTATACACACATACATATGTAGGTACGACAAAAGCTGTTGCCGGCCGGCCGGCAATTATTCCAATATGGTTGGCAAAAACCAGTTCTCGAACTCGGGGGCTAAGTCAAGCTTGCTGCAACTCCAACTGCAACTGCAAACTCTACTCATAAAAGGAGCAAACACACACACACAGGCACTGGGCCGGCCTCTGCGAATACGTATGCGTGGGTTGCCCCTGATTGAAGTCATATTTCAATCCCACCCAAAGGAGTCGAGAATGCAAATCGACTACAACATCGACATCTACGAGTACGAGTACTCGTACGAGTACTTATGCAACATGCAAATGAGTCACTTACGCTTATAATATGCATCATGACAACGGCAATTTGTTGATGTTTCTCACTCTGCCTTTTTGCTATTGCACAACAATTGGTTAACACACATTTTATTTTCATTTCGTTTAAATTTTCAAGTCATAAATAACTCACAAAAAACAAAAAACAAATTGCAAATAAAAAGTAATTTATTTAATTTGTATTTTTGCCTATTGAACTTTTGCTCTGAGGCTGTCAATTTGCATTTACACTTGGAGAAATGGTTTCTGAGATTGAGATTTCAGCAAGTAAATGCTTTCCAGCTTTGTGTATCTTAAAAATACACTTTCCTGCGTTTCCAAAGTTTGAATAGACAATAACACTTCCCAAATACTCAGCCCAGTTCAAGGTGAACAAGTTCCAGTGGTTCCAGGTCTGTGACGACCGAAAAAAACCTCTCTGAACTCTTGCTTTCATAGAATTTGATTAAAATTGATTAGCTAATTGAACATCTAAATGAACACACACCACAGCGACGTCATGGTCTGTTTTGTATGCTCAATTTTCGAGCGGGCCCCTTGTCATTTTTCACATTTTTATGACATAATTGATGGCAACGCCTCGACACGAGCTGTGGACATAATAGTGGGTGCTGCCGACACCGCCACTCGTCCCATTTCCATGTGAATTTTGCAGCAAATTGCAATCAAACTAAAGTGAAAGGATCCACACACAATATTGCTGCTTAAATTAGAAAGGATTTCGTTTTGTCTGTGAAAGTGGGCTACAGTCAGCGACGGGAGAAGAAACATTTGTCAGGTTGTAAAATTTAATTGAGCTTATGACAAGTGACAAGAGAGAAGGTCGCACTAAGAGAGAATGGTTAGTTATATTTACAGATTTTATGGATTCGAAGTGCAGACTTAATGAAACACAATTAGAGGCAGTTTCAGTGTTTGAATAGTTCAAAATGTGTCTGAAATTTCTTTGTAAAACGCTTTTATAAGGCTTTTAAGAACATCCAAAGCATTTTCAAGTTATAGTTTATACAATAAATGACTCATATGGGATACGTTTCAGTAAAAAATAATGAGAAATAAAGAAACTATTAATAAAATATAAATCTTAATATATTCATTGCCACATTGTGCGGTAAATCTTTTCCATTTCATGTTTTTATCTAGCATGTAATTATCTTAACAAGTAATTTATTATACCCTGTAACATCTTTTTCATAAACACATTTAAAATTACAAAGAAAAACATTACAAGATGAGAAACAAACAGAACTTACTCGTAGTTACTCCATCCATACTCCAGCCTATGGTTTTTAAACTGCGGAAATATCTTTAGCACATAAAACAGACTTAAGGAACTTAACTACTTTTTACCTAAGCTGGCGGTAATTATTATCTTTAAGAATTATGACCAAGTCGCATACATTTTTTGATTAACCCCGTAAGACCCATTTTGATTTCATGTCCAGAGGGTATTAGGCGCTTGAGCGGAAGGGTACGATAAAAAAATAGATAAAAACAGTTTGACATCATAAATTCTAGCAACAAAAAAAAAGGAGGGGAAATGGAAAAGAGGCGTGTGCTTCGGTTGAGCAGGAAACGGAAACATTGCAATTGATTTCGCAATGTCTGCCTTTTGGAGTAGAATTCACACAAAAAATTGAGAAACTTTTCCCGCAGAGCGAAATGAAAACTTCACCCAAGAACGAACTCCCTTGTCGTTGTCATTGTTTGGGTGAAAACTTTTGTTGCCCAAACTATTTGGCCACAGAGAAAGAAAAAGCTCAATTAAATGCTACACTCAATTACAAAAGTAGTTTCCAACCATTCCGTTCCACCACTTTGCCTTCGTTTGTTTTGCTCCGTTTTCTGACGGCACTTCCGTTGCGGGCGCCCCGCAATGTGCCATTAACTTGCAGAAATTGTAATCTTTATTCTGCGGTGAAAATTCAAGCCAACTGCCGACTCGTGTCTTTGGCCAATTTGTCGCAAATTATCGCCAAGCCAAAAAAAGCAAAGCGACTTTAACTATTTTAATTGATTTAATGATTGCCTGTGATGTGCGGACATTGCATTTGATTGAAGAGCCAAAGCAATGAAATTATGGTAAAGCAGCCTGAAAGCAGCTTAAATTGCCCAAAAAGAAAAACCATAAAATGCTGCCGACCTGCGGACCATTAAGTTTGTTGATTGAGCCATGAATATGAGTGCATATCGCGTTCAAAGTGCCATAGTGCACATCAAAATGCTATTAAAAACTACACTAGAGGGCACTTGAAAGTGTTTGAGGTGCTCATTAAATGGAATAAACAGAACATCTTTAAAGGTGAAGTTATATGTTTATATGCTGTGGAAAGTAGCTGAAAGGGGAAGAAAAAATCATGAATAATAGTAAGAAATATATTAAAATGTTAATCGTTCTCACCTCTTAAACTCTTCTCTTTTCTTTGCAGCGTGTTCCACCGCTTCGTATTGATGATTTAATCAATGATTTACGCGATGGCACAAAATTAATTGCATTGCTCGAAGTACTGTCCGGTGAACGTTTGCCCGTGGAGAAGGGCCGTGTACTGAGACGACCACATTTCCTTAGCAATGCCAATACGGCGCTGCAGTTTTTGGCCAGCAAACGTATCAAATTGGTCAATATTAATCCCGCAGATCTGGTGGATGGGAGACCACCAGTTGTGTTGGGTTTGATATGGACAATCATATTGTACTTCCAGGTAACTATATCATATCTATCTAAATATTACATACTCCATTTCCCACTATAAAAACCCACAAAAAATGCACCGGTTTTTATCACAAAATTGAGGAACAAAAATTGGTTTTTGCTAGTTGTATGTACACCATTCTCACGAGGCTACCAGCACCAGTAGAGAAATGTACACGAACACTTCACCCACTTAATGATACACAAACAAATACTTTTGTCAACGTAAATTAACCCAATGAAATCCTTCTTTTTCTTATATTACTATTATACTATTTAAAAAAAACCCTACACACACAAGCTTCGTAAAAAGAGGCGGAAAAACTTAGTTGTAGTTATAAATTATGCGCCACAGGTAGGTCCAATTTTGCTGTCAATCTGTCGTCTCTGTCTTCATCAGCGGTGGGCACAAACTTAGCTCTCAACTCTTATAAAAGAAAGATGTATTTCTCTTGTAGTTTGCCCATCGCTGATCTAAATGTTATTTCTTGTTATTGTGAGTCTTTTGTGCATACCCTCATATATTTTTGGTAGAGGTTTCCCCCTTATTTTTAGTTGGTAGCCATCGTATCTTTTGAGGCACTCTCATATCTTAAGTTTAACCATTAAACAACCCCCCACATATCACAGCATTTAATGTTACTCATTCACTTATTAATGTCCTAAATCATTCCCACAGATCGAGGAGAACAGCCGCAACCTAGAATATTTGGGTCATGGTATTGGTGGTTCGGTTAGCTCCCTCGACAGTGTTGGCAATCAAAAGCATGGCGACCTTAAAGCTGAGAAATGGAAGCAGGGAGCCAGAAAAACGCTACTCAATTGGGTGACAAATGCCTTGCCAAAGTGAGTAGAGAATAATCAGGGATATAAAATGAAATGCTAATTATTATACCCTCACAGAGACAGTGGCGTGGAGGTGAAAGATTTCGGCGCCAGCTGGAGAGATGGCGTCGCTTTCCTAGCCCTGATCGATGCCATTAAAGCGAATTTGGTTAATTTAGCAGAGCTAAAGAAGGCCAGCAACCGTCAGCGTTTGGAGACAGCTTTCGATGTGGCCGAAAGCAAGTTGGGCATTGCCAAAATATTGGACGCTGAGGATGTGGATGTACCCAAGCCAGATGAGAAGAGCATCATGACATATGTGGCACAATTCTTGCACAAGTATCCCGAACCAAAGGTAGGAACATTCGGCATTGCCTTCCTGGAGAATATCTGTCTAATATTTGTCTTTCCTTCAGGGTGCCTCACGCGATCAGTCGCATGTCCAGCAAGAGGCGGACGAGCTGCGTCGCTTCTTGGTGGAGAAGACCACCGAGTATGAGCCCATGGTCATGCAGAGCTCTTTTCCGCGTGATTTTAGTGAATATTTGCTGGCACGTTCCGAGGTCGATGCACACTTGTCGGCATATAACCGACTAAAGCAATTGATTGAGAGCCAAAGCGGTTTCCTGCAGGTCTCACATCAATCGTGGAATCAAATCAATGAGCTGTGGCAGCGCCTCCAGTACCAGATGATGTACTGGCTCTGGCTATTGGATGCCGAGCTGCCTGGCGAGTTCGGCATTGTGGGCAAATGGCTGGCCGAGGCCGAAAAACTACTAATGGACAATGATATACCCAATGCCATGAATGAGGAGACGGCGGCTGTGATTAGTAGAAAGCTGGAGGAGCATAAGCTCTTCTTTGCCGATCTGCCGCGCATTCTGGCCATGTTCGATAATGCCAAACGTTCGCCCTTGGCCCAGCAGGTGCCGCTGGAGCAGCTGCGGAACATGGAGCGTCGCCTGCAAGAGGTGGGACCCAAGGCCGCTGAACGGCGCATCCGTTTGAAGTTCTTGGAGCACAAGTGCTGCCTGATTGCGTTCCTCAATCTCGTGGAGAACAAGATGCGCGGATGGACCGGCAAGTATGGGCACGAGGAGAAGGTGGCCCAACAGCTGGAGCAGTACAAGAACTTTGTGTCGCGCAACAAGATCTTCCAGGAGTTCCAGAAGGCCTTCGTGGACATGCAACAGGTCGTGGAGGAGTACAAGCGCGACGGCAATGTGCCACGCAAAGACATCAACGAGATTGATCGCTTCATGTACGAGACGGAGGAGCGCTGGAAGCGTGTCTCCATGGAGCTGAAGTGCTGCCAGAACTCACTCGAGGAGGTGGTCAACTGTTGGCGTAGCTGGAACCAGCTGGCACCCAGCTGTGAGGAATGGCTGCTCCTAGCCGAACAGAAGGTCAATCAAAGCGAAGACGATCGTCTGGAGTTCTTCCAGGATATACCCGTGTGGAAGGACAAGTTTGATGCCTTGGCCAACTCGGCCAACTATCTGATTGCCTCCTGCGAGGAGCCCATTGCCCAGCAGCTACGCCAGCGTCATGGCACACTGGCCGAGCGCTTTGAGCGTCTGTTTGCCAACACCAAGCAGTACATGCACGCGGGCGACATCATACGCTCCCGCCAGGAGTACAAGTCAGGCATTGAGCAGCTGTCCCGCTGGCTGCGTGGCGCCGAAAGTGTACTCGATCAGCGTCAGGTGCTCGGCAACAGTGAGCAGATCCGCCAGTATGGCCAGCAGCTGCAACAGCTAGCCAGCGAGATCGATGACAACGAAGAGCTGTTCAAGACAATTAGTCGCAACTTCCAGGGCCTCATCCAAGACTTGTCGCGCGATGAAGTAGACAAGATGATGAAGCTCCTGAAGCAGGAGAAGGAATCGCTGGTGCGAATACGCGCACAGCTGCCGGCCAAGCTGCATCTTTTCCATCAACTGCAGATTCAACAGGAATCGCTGGAGGCTGGCCAAAAGGAGATCCATCAGTGGCTAAGCGAGGCCGAGCAACTGCTGAGCACGCACAACCTCACGGGCGGACGGGATTCGATCAACGAGCAGCTGCACAAACACAAGACATATTTCTCGCGCACCGTTTACTATCGCTCCATGCTGGAGAGCAAGAACAAGGTGTTCCAGAATCTACTAAAGGCCGTGGCAGCCGATGACAAGATCGACACGGCGCCCGGCACACAGCAAATGCAGCAACTGAACGAACGCTTCAACTATGTGATCCAGAATGCCCAACAATGGGAGCAGCGTCTGGATGCTGCCGCTGGTGGCTGGAGTAACTTCAAGGATAACGAACGTGTCGTGAGCGAGTGGCTCACCCAGGCCGAGTCCATGCTTGTGGAGAAGCACATCGAATCGAAGACCACCATCGAGACACAGAAATATTTCTTTGAGCAGGTCAATGATCGCTGGATGAACGACCTTGTGCAATCCGCTCAGCAATTGCTGACCACCTTGCCCGCCCAGGAGCAGCCAGCGGTGGTGCAGAGCGTCGAACAGCTGCAGTCGCGCTGGAAGAATGTCCTGTCACAGGCACCGCTCCATCTGCTGAAGCTGGAGTTCCGTTTGGATGAGAATGCGTTCTATCAGTCGCTCAAGGATGTGGAGAAGGAATTGCAGCTCGAGCAGCAGGCACTCAATCGCAACGAAGATGTGGACTCCATACTGCAGCGCAATCAGCAGTTTTTGGTGCAACAGGATGTGGTGCCGAGGCTAGAGCGTTGCCTGCAGAATATGCAACGCTTGGCCCAGGCACACCGACAGCAGCAGCCCGGCGACATCTCGCTGGATCAGGCCTACGACAATGCGCAGGCCCAGTGGCACGCGATGTCCAACAAACTGGCGGACATGCGACAGACACTGCAGCAGATCCCCGCCCAATGGCAGGGCTACCATCAGAAGTTCAATGAGATGATACAATGGATGAACACAGTCGATCAGAGCCTCAAGAATATTGTCAATGAAGTGAATACCATGGAGGAATTTGAAAAGGAGAAGGTCGTGTTTCAGGTGAGAATTTCATTTGCAATTTCATTCCTTTCATCCTTAACATAATATCTTCTCATTATCCATAATGCTTGCATTCAAGTTAAGGGAGCTAGTGGTAATTTATGACATGCTTTTGACATTTAAACATACAATTCGGGGTTAAATTTACATTCGCCAATGATGTTTGCATTCGAGTGCCTTTCGCTTATGGACAATTTGTACTTGCCGTACTGCTCCTCCATTAGCAAATGGTTCATTATCTTTGAATCAACATCATTTGGCGCATGTGCCTCGTTGGAACTAGTAAAACAATCAATGATTCCCTTACTCATAACATTTATTTTCTTCTTTCAACAGCGAATCTGCCAGGATGCAGACAACAAGCGTGAAGACATGAAGTGGCTGGTGAAAACCTTGGACTCGCTGCTCAGCTATGCCACCGAAGATGAGGCCAACATGGAGCAAAAGAAACTGGAAGATCTGATTGCACGCTACAAGAACCTCATACCGACCATTGAGATCACAATGGTCAAGACGGAGGTGTTCTCCAAATGCTACACCTACCGCCGCGAGGTGCACGAGGTGGTGTGCCTGTTGAGCAAGGTCAAGGATCAGACAGCCAATATTCCAGCGCCGGACAGTCTGGAGCGTGTGAATCGTTTGATTGAAGAGCAGCAGTATGCCATCAATCAGCTAGATCATCAGCGGCCGCACATCATGTCGATGCTGCAGCGTGGCCGTGATCTCAGCAAGGACTTGCACGCCCCGGCATTTGTCAATGCCGAGGTTAAGAGTCTCGAAACAGGTTGGAACCAGGCCTACACACAGACCTCCGACAAGCTGCAGGCACTCAAGGGCACCCAGGCGGTGTGGAGTGACTTTGTTGACCAGAAGAACGACATCTTCTCCATGCTGCAGACAGCCGAAACGGAGCTGCGTTCCCTGACGCCGCTGCAGACGGATCCGAAGAATGTTAGTCAGGATCTGAAGTCGAAGCGCGATCTAAATGTGCAGCTGCAGCAGGCCTCGCATCAGCTGCTGCCCAAGCTGCATGCCCTCAAGTCCGAGCTGGCGCCGCTGGCTGCCGCCGACAAGCGTCCCTTGCTGGAGAAGGAGGTCACCGAAGTGGAGAAGATGTTCTTCAATACGATGGAGCATGTCAAGGATCGCGTTGGCTATCTAGAGGACTACAGTGCCAAGTGGAACAACTACAAGACGCGTCTCGCTGAGCTGCAGGAATGGGCCAACAAGGTGGCGCCCAAGAACATCGAAGCGCTGCAGTCCGAGGACCTCACACCCGAAGAGCGTGTGGTCAAGGTGCAGAGCTTCAAGCGCGTGCTAGGAGACCGCATGAAGCAGCTAGATCTACTGGCTGCCGATGCCTCCGAGCTGGCACCGAAAGAGGGCAACATTGCCGAAGCGAAGCGTCTAAAGGGTGAAATCTCCAAGCTGCAGGAGGTGCTCAGTGCGATCAATCGCAATGTGGACCATCAGGCACAGGCCGTGCAGGAGGATCTCCTCAATTGGCAGCAATTCCAGGCCGGCCTACAGCAGATCAAGCCCGCGGTGGAGCAAAGCGAAGTGAAGGTAAATAATGTAGTTTCTAAACCCCAGACCCTTGAAGAAGCCGTTGCCATGCAACAGAATGCCCAACAATTTGAATCACAATGCCAGGAGCAATTGGACAAGCTCCATGGCATCTCGAACATCAGTCATAAAATGTTGTGTAAAACGAATGCGCCCGACGAACTGGATGCCATGCACTCCCGCTGGTCCGCCGTCCACGAGAATGCCAAGCAGGCGAGCGCCAAGCTCGAAAAGTTGGTTGGCAATTGGAAGTCCTTCGATGCCGATGCCGGCAAGCTGGAGGACTGGATTGGCCAGGGCGAGCAGCAGATGGCCAAGCGTCCGGCTGTGCTGAACACGCCGCACATTGACAAACTGGAGAAGGAGTTGGTCAAACTGAAGTCCTTCAACAATGAGATCTCGCAGCAGCAGGCCAAGCTGGTGGCCTTGGGACAGAATGCCGATCAGATCAGTCTGCATTTGGCGCCCGAGGGTGCCGCTGCTCTGAAGGATCGCGTCAACCAAATGAAGGGCAAACTGCAGAAGTTATCGGAGGCCACGAGGGGCAACATCAACGAGGTCTCCGATGCCATTATCTCAAGGCAGGACTTTAACGCGAAGCTCGTGAACTTCTCCAATTGGATGGAACAGTTGAGGAATCAGGTTACACAGGTCGAGGAAATCAATCCGGAGCGTGTGGAGACGAGTCTGCATGTGATCCATGCTCTGATGCAGGAGCATGCGGACAAGAAGCCCAGCTTCAATGCCATCTACGATGAGGTCAAACAACTGGCTTTGGGTGCCACACCAGAGGAAACGAATGCCTTGAATGATGCCTACACCGCTCTGGTTGTTAATTATCAGAACTTGGAGACAAATATGCTGCAGAAGAAGGCTGCCCTGGAGAAGTGGACAGAGCTTTTGGGTTGGAAGAACGATACGGAATCCCATTTGAATTACTTGAAGCATCAGTTGGACAAGCCCGAGGGTCCCGCTGCGGAAGAGCTGGGCAAGGTTATCCAAGAGATTGATTCTTTGGGTCAAGGCATAAGCTACTGGAAGGGTCAGGCCAAGGAAATTGATGAGAATCCTGCCATCCAGCTGCGTGATGCCCTGTCGCGTCGTCCACTGATTGCCACACAAATTGTCAACGATGTGGAGAACAAATTGGAAAATCTAAAGCTGCGTTCGCAGAACCAACAGCAACAGCTGCAGCAGATGACTGTGCGCAAGGATAAATTCCATGCGTTGGAGCACAATTTCGGTCAGTCGCTGCAGGAGAATCGCGACAAGCTGCAGGCGATACTCCGACAGCAGCCAACACTCAATAATATTGATCAGATCATTGCCGATTTGGTGGCACTCAATGAGGCACTCAAGTATCAGGCGGATCTCAAGAATCGCATCCATGATGAGGGTTCGCTGCTGATGCGCGAGGACATTTCCAGCATGCCGGCCATCCAGGAGAGTCTCTTGGTGATGGACAAGAACTATGATTCGCTGCAGAATGAAATAGCCGAACGCATACAGAAATACAATCTGATTAGTCAGGCCCTGAGGGAGTATGCTGAATCGAAGGATAAGTTCTCCAAGGAGCTCAAGAAAGCCGAAGATCTGTTTAATGCCATACCCCAGCAGCCACGCGACGAAACGGAGCTGCAACAGGCCTCCGAGAAGACAAGGAAGACCCTGGAACAGCTGAGGAAATCCAAGCTAAGTCTCGATGAACTCGAGAGACGTGGCAATAATGTGGGAAAACTATTCAGTGCAATTGGCGAACCCATACCCCAGGAGGTGCCACAGGAGGTGATGGTCGCCAAACAGACGTATCAGGACCTGCACGATAAGACGGCCAAGAATGCTCATGTCTATGAAACGGAAGCGGTTATTTGGTCACAAATCGAAGATGCCAAAAAGGATCTGCTGCCATGGTTAAACGAAACCAATCAAGGTCTGTGCGATGCGGCAGATAATTCCATTGAAATTGAGTTTGCGCCAATGCGTCTCACCAAATACCGCACGGAATTGCCTTCCTATCAGGCTCTGAAGGATACAATTGCAGAGAAAACCAAGGATTTGGGTGGAGATATACCCGCTCTGCGGGCCCTCAATCAATTGTTGGATGAGCAGTTTGCAGAGGTGTCCGACAATGCCGAACGTTTGAGTGCCATTACCACATCGTTTAATGATCAGGAACAAGAGCTGCGCAGGCGCTCAAAGGTGGCAGGCGAACAGGTCAGCAAGCTGCGCGAACAACTCATTAAGTGCGATGACATGTCGGGCGATAATAACAAAATCATGGAGCGTCTGCTCCAATGTCGTGCGTTGCGCAAAGATCTAGATGAAAGTGGCAACGAGATTGACAACATCAAGCAGAAGGTGGACGAACTGCGCAACCTTTATCCCACATTCAGTGAGTCCATCATCCCGAAAGAACTAAACAATGTGCAAAAGCGCTATGAAGGTGTGGATTTGTATGCCAAGAAGATTGAGAGCTCGCTGCTGCAGTTCCTCAAGAAGTTCCATGCGGATAGGGTGGGCATGCTGAAGCGCATCATTGCCACGCAACGCGAAAAGGTGGCTTGGTGTCAGCCAGAATCGTCGAGCGATAAATACAATCTGGATGTCAAGAAATCCTCGCTGCAGGAGGTCAGCAAGAGCATTGACGAGTGCAAGGCCAGACATGCAGAGACCTTGAAATCCCTGGAGATGTTGAAGGCTGTGGAGTCGCCACAGAATCTACAGGAACTCACCAAGGATGCACAGCTGCTGGACAACGATATGAAGGCCCTGCAGGATAGCTTTGATCAGATCAAGAGCATACTCGATGAGAATGTGGATCTGTGGTCGCAGTACGAGCAATCGAACGAGCAAATATCAAATTGGTTGCGTGATGTGGAGGGACGCGTCAAAGCGGAGACCAGCAGTCAAGTGAATCTTCCCGAAGTGCCACAGAAACTGCAGGAGCTGGCCATACTACAGCAGGATGTCCTGGCCCATGAGCCAATTATCCAAGCGTTAGAGCAGACTTCGCAGCAATTGATTGAGAAGAATCCCGAGGCAAGGATTGGACAATTTGTGCAGCACCTCGTGCAGCGTTATCAGGCTGTCAGCAAGAGTCTCAATGGATACATTGACAAAATACGCAGCGCACAATTATCCAACACCAACTTTGCCAAGGCTTCGAAGGACTTTAATGAATGGCAGAGCGATGCCAAGATTGAATTCCAAGAACTGGCACGCATGGGCTCGCCCGGATCCTCCTCAGCCACAGCCCAACAGCTGCAGACAATCAAAAACTACATCAAGACACTGGACAACGGGCAGATATTGTTGAATAATGCTGTGGATATAGGTGAAAACTTGTACCCCGTTGTGTCGCCTGAGAATCGTGAACGTATACGCGCGGACCTCCGACAAATGAGGGAAAAGTTCGACTATCTGCGCGATGAGGCGAATGCGTTGCTGCAACAGGTTGAGGGTGTGCTCATACAAAAGACATCCATCGAGGAGAGCTACACCCAAGTGTCGCACTATCTGAATGAGTCGCGGGCAAAGGTTACAGCTGTCGATGAACTCTATCCCACTTTGGCCACCAAAAAGGCAGCCCTGCAGAACTATAAATCGCAACTACAGGACATTACGCTGCACAAGAATGCCTTGAAGCAGCTGCACGACAAGGCGGTCACCTTGTGCGATGATGAGTCCGAAAGAAAGACGGACGAGTCCATCCAGGAGTACAATACGTTGTCCAAGAAGATCTCCGATCGCATTGGGATCGTGTCCAATCAAGTGACCAAACATGAGGCCTACGATCAGGTGCTGGAGAAGGCTCAGGACTGGCTGAACACCATCAAATCGGATGCCATAGACATACTCAATGAGACCACGTTCGAGAAGGAGGGAGCCGAAGAGAAGCTGTCCGTTGTTGAGAATCTTTTGAAGCACAAACCCGAAGGAGATGCCATATTTGAGACGTGCCACAAACTACTAGAAACTGTATTAAAACAGACACATCCCAACGGACATCCAGCGCTGCTGAAGGGTTTTGAGGAGCCAAAGCATGCGTGGGAGGAATTTATGGTTTTGTGTGAGGATTCGTTGGTGAAACTCAAGCAACTCTGCTCGAAATGGGATGAATTCGATTCGATTATCGAAGATCTGGACAACTGGATGAAGAACGTGGAGGGTGTCGTCAAGAACCAGAACCTTAAGAGCACTGCGGATGCAAAGAGTGCACATCTTAAGCAACTGCAGGACATATCGAAGGACATTGAACGTCGTGGCACGGCCATCAATGAGCTGATGGATCAGGGTCGTGAAATCGAAGGTGAAACCGATTTGAATCTAAAACTCTCGCGCTTGAACACGCGCTATCAGACGCTCAAAAATCTGTGCAAGGAATCGATAGCAAAGTACACGAACTACGTGAAGGATCACAAGAGTTTCGATCAGGATTTCGAAGCGTTCAAGGAGAGCTTGCAGTCTTCGGTGAATGATTTGTCGAAGGCCAATGAAATCACTGGCGATCAGAGTGTGCTCCAGGAACAGCAGAATAAACTCCGCGAGATGTCAGATAAACGCATTTCCGACTCCACTCTGTTTGAGGGTCTCATCGATCGTGGGGAGAAGCTGTACGGACACACCAGTCCCGAGGGTCGTGAGATTATACGCCAACAGTTACGCTCTCTGCGCACTCTGTGGGATAATTACACGGACGATTTGAATGCGGCCACCCAAAAGATTGATCAATGTCTGTTGCAGTTTAACGAATTCAGCATTGCCCAGGATCAGTTGACGAAATGGTTGAAGGATGTGGACAAGGCCATGCAGAGCCACACGGAGCCAAAGACCACGTTGCAGGAGAAGCGCGCCCAGTTGCAGAATCATAAGTTGTTGCATCAAGAGATAACCACACACAATGTCCTCGTGGATAATGTGTGCGACAAGGCACAGCTACTGATTGATCAAATCAAGGATAACTCCTTGAACATCTACCTGCATTCGATTAAGGAATTGTTTCAGAACATTGTCCAAAAGTCTGATGTGATCCTGCATAATCTGGAGGACTGTGTGCAGCGGCATAACGATCTAAACAATGGTCTGTCCTCGGCCAAGACATGGATATCAAATGAGAAGGCCAAGCTCTTGGAATGTGACGATGCCTATGGCGAGAAGGCGGACATTAAGCGTAAGATCGAAACCCTGGGACAACTGGCGCAGAACAAACCTCAAGCCATGAAACTGATCAGCGACATACGCGAGCAATTCGACAAAGTGAAGCCCACAACCTCGGACAAAGGTAACGAAGTGTTGGACAAGGAAATCGATGAACTGGAGACCACTTTGAAGTCCCACTTTGACGACATCGAGGGCATTGAGGGCAAACAAAAGGATGTTCTCGTACAGTGGGATAAGTTTGAGAAGACCCTCGAGGATCTGACCAAATGGTGCCGCAATGCCGAAGCCGTATTCCGTGAGCAACAGCTCCAGTCGACGCTGCACGAAAAAGTTGAACAGTTGGAGAAATACAAGATCCAACGCGAATTGATTATCCAGAAAGAACGTGAGATTGATGCCTTTGGCGATGCCGCCCATTCGCTGCTCAACAACTGCGGGGCAGATCGCTTGAAAACGCTGACCACACAGATCACGAATCGTTATCAACTGCTGCAGGTGCTGAGCAAGGAAGTGGTCAATCGTTGGTCGAATCTCGTGGATGATCATCAGTTCTATCAGGACAAGTATAATGAGGTTGATCTGTGGCTGCAGCCGATTGAAAAGCAAATGGAGAAGGTGCTACTCAATGATGAACAGGAGCATAACATATTGCAGGTTCTCTTATCCGAAAAGGAGCAGGCCGAGAGTCTCTTTGGTGCTTTGAATGCGGCTGGAGAAAAGGCTTTGCCAGAGACATCGACACAGGGCAGAGAGAAGATCCGTAAGGATTTGCGTGATATACGCGATCGTTGGGATAAACTGGACGAGGGAATACGCAATCTGGAGAAACGCCAAGAGGCCCAGACCGTCCAACTGTCCAGCTATCAGGATATTCTCAATCAAACTGTCAACTGGTTGGATCAAGTGGAAAAGCTGCTAAGCAATGAGAACCCTTCGACATGGACCAGTGCACAGGAGATACGCTCCAAGCTGTACAAGTACAAGGCCACCAATCAGGACATCAACTCACACAAACGCATCGTGGAGGCTGTTAACGAAAAGGCAGCTGCCCTGCTGGGAAGCTCTGCCCCACCCAATGCCGATGAAATAGCTCATGCGGTGACCGTGGTGAACAAACGCTACGAGCAGGTGGGACAGCAGTGTGCCCAGCTGGTCTCCGATCTGGATGCGGCCTTTGAGGTTTACCAACAGTTTAGTGAACTGCAAAAGGCGCAACAGGACTACCAGAAGAATCTCTGGGATCGTCTCACTGGCTACTCTGATTACTCCGGCAACAAGGCGGCACTGCAGGCGCGTCTCCAGAAGATCAATGAGATTCAGGACGCTCTGCCAGAGGGTGTGGCCAAGCTGCAATCTCTGGAGGAACACATTCAGGCAAATGCCACGAATATACCGCCACGATCCAAGGAGGCCATGGCCAGGGATTTGGGCAATCTACATGCAGATTTTGAAAAGTTTGGCGCGTCCCTGAGTGATGTCAAGAGTGGCCTGGAGAACCGACTGCAGCAGTGGAACGATTACGAGATCAACTTGGATCGTCTCATCAATTGGTTGGGAGAGGCTGAAAATGCACTCAAGAATTACAACCTCAAGAACTCATTCGATGAGAAGGAGGAGCAACTGACACGCTTCCAATCTTTAACTCAGAGCTTGCGTCAAAACGAATCCGACTTTGACAAGATGAAGGACGATACCTCAGAGCTGGTGCAGAGTTCCGGCGAGACGAGGATTGCTGTGAATGTGCAGCAGGTATCCTCACGATTCCAGTCCATTCAAGCTACAGCCAAGGAGATCCTGAAAAAGTGCGAGCAAGCTGTCCAGGATCATGGACATTTCAATGATAAATACAAACAGTGTGCGAATTGGTTGGCCCAGGCCCAAGGACGCTACGACGACTGCTGTGACTTGTCTACCGTTGGATCCCGCGATGACCTGCTCAAGAAACAAATGGTCATCCAGGAACTGCTGGCGCAACAGCCCACGGCCACGCAGCTGCTGAACAGCACTGTGGAGCTGGGTGAAAAATGTTATGGCTCAACGGCCACGGAGGGTCGCGAGGCCATTCGCAGCCAGTTGGATGATCTGACATTCGATCAGCTCTTCGACAACATTGCCATTACGGCCAGGAAGATCCAGGATAAAATTGCCAAATGGTCAGGGTTCGATGAGATTGCCGACAGCCTGAAGTCATGGCTGGAGGAGACAGAGAGCGCTTTGCCCGCGGAACTCGAACTGAAGACCACGCTCGATGAAAAGCGCACTAAACTACAGACCTACAGGGATATACTCAATGACATTAACAACCATCAAGTGGAGCTGGGAAATCTGCAAGAGATTGCCGAAAATTTGCCAGAGAAAACGGAGCATGTTGATGGGATCCTCAAGGATATTGCCGAACGCTTTGGAAAGCTACAGAAGCGCGGCCAATCCTTTGTGGAGCGTTACGAGGGTATTGTTAGTGCCCATCAGCAGTACTCAAAGGCGGTGATGGATGCCCAGGAGTTTATTGATGCCACCCTCAATACGGTGCACTATTGGGGAGATTTGGACCTCGAACAGATCTCCCTGCACACGAATCTGGATCGCTTGAAGAACCTGAAGGCCAGTCTGGCCGATGAGTTCCCGCGAGTGGATCAAGTGCGTGCTTTGGGCGAGAAGGTCATTCCCGGCACCGTGGATGTGGGACAAGTAAACATCAAGTCACAGATCGATACAACGCAACAGGAATGGGAGGGTCTCCTGGCGGCTATTGAGTCGACCATCGAAGGAATTGAATCGCGTCTCCAGCACTGGTCGGAGTACGAACAGTTGCGGGATCAGTGTCTCGCGTGGATACGGGATACCGACAACAATCTCCATGCCATTGATCTAAAGGAGGATCTGCCCAAGAAGCGCACACAGCTGGATGCTCTGAAGACACTCCAAGGGGATGTGAGGGCCAAGGAATTGGAGGTGGATAATGTCACAGAGAAGGCACAGACGCTGGTAAAGGGCCACCGCTCTGCGGGTCCCGAATTGGTCACGAAATATCAGCAGATCTTCCACAAGGTCAAAGAACTGAACAATCGCTGGCAGCAATATGTCTCCACGCACGAAGACTTTGATAATTCGATCAACGATTGCACCTCCTGGATCAACGACATCAAGGAGAAGCTCGACTACTGCTCGGACATGTCGTCCATGAGCCAAAAAGAGTTGGACAAGAAATTGGCTACCATTCAGGATGTCATCCTGCTCAAGGACGAGGGCTCTGCGCGTGTCTTGAAGATCCTAGAGCAGGCCCAGCACGTGCTGGCCAATACAGCGCCTGGGGGACATGAGGCCATAAACAGAGATCTCACCGATCTGCAGGATCTATGGTCTGGCATTGCCTTGCGCATAATGGATGTGAAATCGAATCTGGATGACTCGATAACCCAATGGTCGGGCTTCCTCGATCAAGTGCAGAATGTGCGCAAGTTCAATGAATGGCTAGAGGCTCTCCTGAAGGAATTGCTGGAAAATCAAACGACAATGACCGAGAAGCGAGCGCAGCTGGACCGCGTAAAGTCCACGGAGGAAAAGGTGCGCGTGGAGAAGATCGACGTGGATGCATTGAAGATTCAAGCCAAGGAAATGATTGCCAGCGGGCAGCAGAGTCAGGCCGCCTATCAGGCTCAGAAAGTGTTGGACAACTTTGATGAGCTGTTTGGCAAGACACAGAAGTTGTTGTCGGATCGCCAGGATCAGTACAGGGATCATCGTTTGTTCAAGGAGGCCTACGATGATTTGGTTAGCTGGATAGGTCGTGCCAGGGAGAAGTTCCCTGCGCTCAAGCAGAGTAGCCTCAGCGATAAACTGGCCATTGAGAATGCTGTCCAGGCCACAGAGGCGCTGCTCAATAAACAGGCCCAGGGCGAGCTGCTGGTCGAGCATCTGGTGCACACGGGAGAGGTGGTGCTTGCGAGTACCTCCACGCAGGGACAGGAGATCATCAGGAATGATATACGCGCCCTGCGCGACAGCTTTGAGAGTCTGTTCCGTGAAATCAATCAGCAGAAGGAGAACCTGGAGGTCACCATGGTGCAGTGGCGTGCCTACAAAGAGGAGTACGAGCGCCTCATGGAGTGGCTGCAACAGATTGATATTCTAGTCAAGAATCACAAGCTCAATCTGTGTCCCAATCTGAAGGATAAGGAAAAACAGGTGGCAGACATGAAGGAGGTGATGGGCAGACTGGAGAAGGGCAAGGAAGACATTGATCGTTTCAATGCTTCGGCTGCCAGTCTTCTCAAGTCCCATCTGGATACCTATGTGAACAATCAACTGCGTCACCTGAGCTCTGTCTATCAGGTGCAGGTAAATCTGGCCAAGGATGTGCTGAAGAAGGTGGAAACAAATCGAGATCAGCATCGCGAATACGATTGCAATATGCGTTCGGCCAAGGACTGGATTGCACATGCCAAGACGGCCATTCAATCGGCCGGCGATGGTGCTGGCTCCAAGGAGGCGCTGCAGCGACGTCTCGAACAGATTCAGGACCTCATACGTAACCGCGAAGTGGGTCAGAATCTGGTGCACACAGCCATCAATAATGGTGAAAAAATTATACGGAATACGCGTTCGGATGGCAGGGATGCGATCAACAGCGAAATGAAGGAACTGCAAACGGAATGGGATCGGCTGGTGAAGAAAATGTCCAATGCCAAGGTCCAGCTGGAGACGAATCTGCTGCAGTGGGCGGACTACAGCTCCAGCTACACACAGCTGCAGCAATGGATCACCGACAGGGAGGCGAAGCTCCAGCAAGCCTGCGAGCAAAAGGTTGTCAAATCGAAGCGTGGACAACCAGGTCTCAGCAGTGGCCTGAGTGAGCGCAAGGCAAATTTGCGACAGACCAACAACATTGTCCAGGATATTGTGTCCTTTGAACCGATGATCCAGTCAGTGGCTTCCAAGGCCTCGGACCTGCAGCAAGGTGCCCCAGCTACAGAGATCTCCGACAAGTACGAGAATCTCACAAAGCAGGCCAAGGATCTGTATGAGAAGCAGAAGACAACAATCGAGAGTTATCAGTCGCTGATCGATGCCGGCAATGACTTTGCCACATGGCTGCGCAATGCCAAGGAGCGTCTTAGCAAGTGCTCCGAGCCGACAGGCGATAAGCAGGCGCTCGCCGAGAAGACCCACCAGCTGAAGATCCTGCAGGGCGAGGTGCCCGAAGGTGCCCAGAAGCTAAAGAATGCCCTGGAGCAGGGGGAGATTGCCTGCCGCAGTGCGGAGCCCGAGGATTGTGAGATCATTGAGCAAGAGGTGGCGCTACTGCAAGAGGAATTCGATGCGTACGTCGAGGCCTTGAACAAGGCCAAGGACTACCTGGAGGTGGGCATTGTCAAGTGGTCGGACTACCAGGATCAATACACGGAAGCGCTCGAATGGCTAAGCAAAACGGAGGCTCTGGTGCAGTCGTACAACAAGCTGCAGGACAGCCTTACGCAAAAGAAGGTCGTCCTCGAACAGTTCCAGGGACACTTGCAGACCCTCTTCGATTGGCAGAAAACCCTCGATCATTTGAACATGAAGGCCCAGGTGCTGCTGGAGACCTGCTCCGATACGCGCATCAGCAATGCCATCATGCAGCTGACGACGAAATATAATGCGCTGCTGACCCTGGCCAAGGAGGTGATGCGCCGCCTGGAGATGCACTACCAGGAGCATCAGCAACATCATTCGCTCTACGAGGAGTGCCAGTCGTGGATCGAGAACACACGCGAGAAGCTAGCCGACTGCGAGCACATACCCAGCACGCTGAATGAGGTACAAATCAAACTGAATACCGTCAAGAATCTCCGTCAGGGCTTCGAGACGGGTCAGAACAAGCTGAGGTATCTGATGGAACTTAAGGAGAAGGTCATCATGAACACGGAACAGAATGGTGCAGCCAAGATCCAAGAGGACACCGAGGCACTCAAGCAGGACTTTGACAAGCTGCTGGTGGATCTCAACGATGTGCGCCAGAAGTTGGCCAATCGTATGGCCCAGCTGGAGGAGATCTTCAAGCTGTACAAGATCCTTGTCGAGTGGCTGGACGAGGCAGAGCCCAGTGTCAAAGCCAGCGATGAGTATCTCAATGACTTGAGCGAGAAACGCGCTGCCCTGGAGAAATTCCGAGTCATCCAGCGGGATATCAATGGTCACAATGACATTGTGGAGAAAATCAATCTGCGCTTGCGTGAGGACAATAGCCTGGATGCCAACGACTTCCAACCGGGTCTCAGCAAATTTGAGTATCTTCAGGCGGAGGTCAACAAGATCATAGAGTCTCTGGAGAACCAGGTGAACAGCCACGATAAGTACAAGCAGGCCTACAACGAGCTGCAGGATTGGCTGCGTCGCACTCGCATTGATGTCGAGCAGTGCGCCGACTGTCATGGCGAAAAGGATCAGGTGGAGAGTCGTCTCAATCGTTTGGGTGACATACAGGCCACCTCTCTGGAGGGTAAATCCCTGCTGGATGCCTGCGAGGAGCTCAGTCGTGCGGTCATTGCCACCAGCGGCCGTGAGGGTCAGGATAATGTGGCCCAGGAGATCAAACACTTGAATGCCGAATGGGAGACCCTCCAGGCAATGTCGCGTGATGCGCGCAACAGTCTGGAGACCTGCCTCAATGCATGGCAGACCTTCCTGCAGAAGTTCAACAAAATCAATCTGTGGATCGAGACGATGGGCAAGCGCGTTACCAAATCCCAGGAATCCGATAACAAAACCACCGAAGATTTGGTCAATGCCAAGGTAAGAGGAAGTCTTCACGTCTTCTCACGGCTGTCAAAAGCAAAGTCTCAAAATATAAAACGCAACTGTCGCACGCTCTCGCTCCTCTAATAGTACTAAAAATTAAATGTATGCTCGCGTGCACCCAAAAGTAGAGCCAACAAAAATGTTGTATCAATCAAAATTAATCCATAGACTAAACCACTAATCAAGTATTGCTAATCTTTCAGCTAATCACTTTGTCTCACTCTTGCAGCCTCTTAATCATTTACACAGACTAATTGTCAAATGCCTAATATATGCTTTATGTGCTTTTCACTTTATTTTCGATTGGAATAACTAAAACTTTGATTTTGCCCACAGAAATTACTAGAGGAAGTGCTGGCCGAGAAGGACAATGTCGAGGATTTAAATGATAATTGTGAGCTCTTGATGGAGCAGAGTGCCTGCACAAGGATACGCGATCAAACCATCGAAACGCAGGCCAATTACACAAAACTCTTGACTTCTGCCCAGGGTCTGGTGGCCAAGATCGAGAAGAATCTGTCGGATCACACAGAGTTCCTCAACTACAAGAAGGAAATGGATGGTTGGATAGAGAAGGCCCAGCAAGTGCTCAACGATTGCGGCACCGACGGTGATGCCTCCATTATTGCACAGAAATTGGACACAGTTAATGTGAGTAATAATAATAACTATTAATAATAATCTTCAATCGAAAAACGCTTCCCTTTCTCCCAACAGTCGCTGGCCGCCCGTCTGCCCGAGGGTCAGCATTTGTTGGCCTTGGTTCAGGATGCCTACTCAAAGGCCTCCAACATCACGCCCGAGGACAAGCAGGAAAAACTGCGCGAACTGATGACCAAAGTGCGCGAGGATTTGGATGCTTTGGGTCTGGATGTCAAGCAGAAGTTGAGCGACCTCAAGCAAGCCCAGAACCGTTGGAGCGACTTTGCTGCCAACAAGGACAGAATCGACAAGTGGCTAAGCGAGACCGAGAAGACGCTGAAGGCGGCGCCGGAGACTAAGGGAGAGCTGAGCGAAATGAAGACACTGCTGGAGCGCTACAAGACGCTGGGCAATGAGCTGAAGCAGAAGGGCAACGATCTCGAGCAGCTGCAGTCGGAGGCCAGAGACTTGGGCACAGAAGTAGATGCCGTCAACCGTTTGCAGTCACGTTGCGATAAGTTGAAGAACGATTGCTCGTCGCACATTAAGGCCCTCGAGCAGGAGATGATCGACTACAATGCGTACCATCAGAGTTTGCAGGATGTGGAGAAGTGGCTGCTGCAGATCTCCTTCCAGCTGATGGCCCACAATTCGCTGTTTATCTCGAACCGTGAACAAACCCAGGAGCAGATCAAACAGCACGAGGCATTGCTGTCCGAGATCCAGAAGTATCAAACCAATCTGGATGACCTCAATGCCAAGGGTCAGGCGCAGATCAAACGCTATGAATCCAACACGCCAGCCATCCGTCCCACGGTTGAGTCACAGTTGAAAAACATTCAGGACAGCTACAACTCCCTGCTGCAGACCTCGGTGCAGATCAAGAATCGCCTGCTCGAATCACTGGCCAAATTCCAAGAATACGAGGACACACTCGACAGCATCATGCGCAATCTGGAGACCTACGAGCCGATCATTCAAACCGAACTGGATGCCCCAGCGACCAGCCTGGAACTGGCCCAAAATCAACTCAGATGCGCCCAGGAAATGCAGCACAAGTTGAACAACGAAAAGGCACGCCTAGCAGCCGCCGTGCAGGCCTGCGAAGCGGCCACTGCCTCGATTAGTCGTCCCAGCTCTCCGCTGGAGACTGCCATGCAGGCCATACCCGAACGTGAATTGATTGTGCGCGCAAAGCTTGAAGATCTGCTGGATCAGGTAGGAATTTGGATACATTCTGATTTGATGTTTGTTTTTTGTAGTTTTTTGTTAGTTTCTCTTGAAAATAGTTTTAAGTTTAAGGAAGCAATTTTCGTAGATTTGTTGCCTGCTTAGACCACAGTTCCATTTGGGAGTACATTCAAAGTCGAGATTTATTCGATTCCTCTCTGTCCGTTTGCTCATAAAACGTTCTTCGTTTGTAGCGACTTTTGGGCATGGACGGCATATTTTGTACCCTTTAATTTATGGAATTATCACTATACGAGAAATATTCTCATAATGGAACTGTTGTGTCTACATTCCAATAACTTTCTTGACAAATTCCACACTTATTTTATTTTTCCATTTGATTTGCTAACCAACAATTTATTTTTTCCAATTTAACTTCTAACCATCCCCCACCCAACACTGCTCTAACTTTTGTTTGATTTGCTGCACAACCCAAACCACAACCCAATCCGTAATTGTTGTATAATTGTTGCACTACCAAAAAAACAAATGCTCGTTTTGCTATTGACACAAAAAGCAACCTCCGCAAAAGACTCGGAGCTCAACTGACGATATTGATGATGATGAAGATGATGTTGAGATCCAAGTTGAGCTCAGCGATGTCCATGAGGCGCGTTTGGATCCGATTGCACATGAGCGTGTCAGCAACTATCGCCACATAGTTCGCCTGAATAACGCACATGTGAGCAAGTTGCAAGAACTCGTCGCCAAGGTAAGCCAAGGATCCACAGATGTGGAAACAAATCCTGATGCGGTGGCGGTGGCAGCATGTCTCTAGCTTCTATTTAATGCTTTTGTTTTGTTCAGTCTATAACCCAAATTATTTGCTAAAGAGACTTATTACGTTTTTCTTTAGGTGCAATCCCATTTGGGTGGTTTGACTGCATCCGTTGGCGAATTGGAGCAACAGCAGAAGCAGCGCGCCGAGCTGCAGGATTGGGTTAAGAAGCAACAGAGCTCTGTCTCTGACTGGTCAATGCGTCCCAGCAAACTCCGTCCCGAGGCGGCACAACAGGAGCTTGTGGCCATGAATGATTTATTGAATTCCATTGGCGATAAACGTTCCCAATTGATGCTGGAAATGACTGGATCATGTGAGTCTTATGCAAAGGGGAATATAAATATTTATAATATTAATTTTGGACTATTTTTAGTGGGCGATGAGGACACAGATTTGGATGACAACATTGACAAGCTTGAGTCGGAGCTAATGGATGCCATTGCCAAGAAGCAGGCGGGCCAGAATGTCATCGATGGCTATCGCCAGGGCATGCAGGATGTTCAAAATTGGTTCGACACTCTCATCAAGCGCATGGATGTCCTTGATCGCGGCTCTGGGCTGAATTGTGCACAGAAGACTGCCGCCATTAATGAGATTAAAAACGAATACGAGCTCCAGGGTCATCCCAAGATCCAAGAGCTCAAGGGCAAGGCTGCACAGGTGGCTGAGGTTATCAGCAATCTGGATGGCCAGCAGGTGGAGGAGCAAATGAAATCCCTGGATCGTCGCTTTGCCGATCTTGGCAAGCGAATCGATCGCAAGGCCCAGCTGCTGGATGTCACCAACAAGGGTGTGGATGGAGCCAAGGGTGAGATTGATCAGCTCCAGAATTGGGTGAAGCAACAGATCGACGAGCTGCAGGCACCCACTCCGCTGGGATACACGCCCAAGGATGCCGAGGCACGTCAGCAGAAGATCAAGAGCCTGATGAAGGATGCCGAGGCAAAGCAATCCCTGGCCGATGTTCTCGAGAAGCGCATTGCCAACATGCAGCCGGAATTGGAGCCAGCAGAGTACTCTCAGCTGGAGTCTGCTTTGCGGAATCTCAACACCGAGAATCGTAATCTGTCGGGCGTGCTAAAGGCCGAACTGGATCGCGCTCTGGAGGCCAGCAAGGCACGAAAGGCCTTGGAGAACGATCTGGACAAGGCACGTCAATGGCTCAAGACAAAGATTTCGGAGGTGCGCAAGCTGCCCGTCTATCATCCACTGACCTCTGCTGAGATTGAGAAGAAACTGCAGGAGAACAAAAAGTACGACGATGATGCCAAACAATTCAACGACAGCGTTCTCAGCGATGTCCAACGCCAAGCGGCAAACATCATGAAGGATTGCGATGATGCGGACAAGGCTGCCTTGCAGCAGATCCTCAGCGAAATAGCCGCCGACTATCAGACGCTGAAGGACGAGGGCAACAAGAGAGGCAAATCTCTGGATGATCTGCTCCAGGGACGCAAGGCCTTCGAGGACTCAATGAAGAAAATGGGCGACTGGCTGAACGAAATGGAAACGGCCACTGAGGGTGAGCTAAGAACCACCAGTCTGCCTGTCCTCGAAGAGCAGCTGGCGCACTACAAGAAGCTGCTGCAGAATGCCGAGAACATGGGCGGCCTTTGCAACGATGTGTCCGAGCAGGGCAAGAGTATTCTGCCTACGCTCAGCAATGCGGATAAGCTGAAGCTCAATGATGACATTAAGAACATGAAGGATCGCTATGGACGTGTCAAGAACACCATCGATGATAGGGTTAATGCCTTGGGCGACCACATCAAGAAGTACAAGGATGCCAAGAGTCGGTTGGCCGATTGCAGTCAGTTCTTGGGCACCATTCAGCAGCGTATGCGTGAGCTGAACCGTCCGATTGGCTCCAGGATTGAGGATGTCCAAGATCTGTTGGGTGCCTATGAGGGTATACTCAAGGAACTCAAGGACAGCAAGAGCAAGATGGGCGACATGCAGATCGATGATCTGCCTGAATTGCAGAGCATTTTGGCCCAACAGGATGATATGATTAAACTGATAGAAGATCAATTGGCCCATCTCCGGCAGCTGTTGCTGCTGCGCGAACAGTTTATTGCTTTAATCAATGAGATCATTGCCTTTATCATGAAGTACACTGATGTGATCATTGACATTGAGAACTCCCCCGACAGCCTCGAGGACAAGATCAACAAGTATGACGATGTGATTGTCAAGATTCAAGAGTGCGAGGGTGTCCTGGCCTCGGCCAATGACAAGGGCCAGAAGATCGCCTCTGAGGGCAATGCTGCGGACAAGAACAGCATCACCGAGCAGCTGCAATCTCTGAAAAACCAGCTGCAGAATCTCAGAAAGGCAGTGGAATCGCAGCGACAGAAGCATCAGCTTCAGCTGGAGTCCCACAAGAAAATGGGCGCTGAGCTTAGCGAGATACTTGACTGGCTGCACAGCCATGAGGGCGCGGCCAAGTCCCGTCCCCTGCTCGATCGTGATCCCGAGTCGGTGGAGCGTGAACTGCAAAAGCACCAGAGCCTCAGTCAGGACATTGATGCCCATCTGAACAAGTTCAACAAAATCAACGATGGCGTCAAGACGGAAATCGGAATGCCCAGCTCTCTGCTGGAAATGCTTTCTGAGGGTCGTTCCCTGGTGGCCTCCCTGCCCCACGAGCTCGAGGAGCGCGAGAAGTATCTGAAGAACAACCGCGACTCCCGCCTGGAGTACATGCAACTGGTGGCCAAATTCAATGACTGGGTTCACGAGGCTGAGCTGCGGCTGCAGAACAGCCAGCATGGCATCGACTATGAGCATTTGGTCCATGACCTGGACGAGCACAAGATCTTCTTTGGCAACGAGGCACCCATCCGCAATTTGGTGCACAAGCAGATTCAAGAGGCCGCCGACAAGATCTGGTCGTCTCTCAACAACTACGAACAGTCGGAGTTATCCTCCGAATTGGCTCAGTTCCAGAACAAACTAACCAACACCCTGGCCAATGCCAAGACACAACAGAGCGAACTGGAGCAGGAGGCCGAACGCTGGCGCGAATATCAACAATCTATTGATCGCGTCAAGGCCACCATTGAGCGCACCAAATTCAGCGATGAACCCGTACAGAATCTGGCCGGAGTGCACTTTAACATACAGAAGCTGTCGCATGCCATTGGCAATGTTCAGGTGAGTTGATTATTGTTTTAAGGAATCATTATATCATATCAGATATCAGATATCAGGACGGGAACTACCTTACTTAGATACTTTGTGTGAATGGATCGCCTTTCATAGCATTTTCTAGAAAATCGGAGTCAAGACGACAAGAGTCAAGGCGAACGCCTGTTACAAGCAAATTTTACAAGTTCTAAAGGAATATGAGTCAGAAAAGCACCTCCAAAGGGCGGTTTCTTCTGAAAGATCGGCTGTGAAGAGTCTCTTACCGATCAAGTTTTTAAGGTATTTCCATGGAAACAAACTTTAAATTGTGGCTGGTACGTGAAATGTGCTCTTATGCACATAAATTTCTAAAAAAAATTACTTATAATCGGATGTTTATGTTATATAACTATCATACGATTGGGATGATCACATTATTTTTTTGGTCTCAATATTTGATAGCATAAAATTGAACAAGATCTTGGGTTTATTTGAAAGGCAAATTTAAAAATGTCTCGTGCAAATGTATGTATGTACATGCATGTATGTATGTGTTCATACATACCCATGCATATTCAGCTGGCAGCTTGCACATTTTGGTGCATATAAATAAGTGTATACCTACATCCGTAGTCGTAAGACCAGTTTTCCAAAAAACACAAAACCATAAAATGACACATTGCTCAAGGATTTGCCAGAAACAGAGGCATGCACGCACATACTGCCTCACTCGTGCTTGTGCAAATGCAACGCCTTAAGAGAGAAAGAGAGTGTGCGAGTGGAGAGAATAAATGTGCATGAAATTGACTTTTACCCGCAACCAAATCGATTGCATTCTCATTGCGACTTGATTTGCCGGCCGGCAAAATGCTCTCTTCCAATCACTTTCAATTGCATTTACCCATTATCTCTCGTTTGCTTTTTCTCTTCTTTAGTCTCTTTTTGTGTGTCTAGCCCTCTCTCTCTTTCCCGCATTCTAGCGGCGTCAGATGATGATAGTGTTTTATTGAACGAGTCCATTTGTTTACTTTCGTAAGCGCCTGCTGTTACCTTGAGGACTCATTAAACTTTTAACCTACTAGCCCGTCGGAGCTACATTCGAGTGTATTCGTACATATGCATATTGAGAGCTTATCGTCGTCGGCCTGTTCGGTCTGTCAAACTTTTGGTTTGATTATTCAAGGCACAACAAGCTTCGTCCGATGTTCATGCTCAGTTTCGAAACGAAAAAAAAACAGCTGTAGTTGTTGCTATTGCTCTTAGTGCGGAACGTATTGAGTGAGCTGCATGACATCATCGGAGCACGTTGGATGGCAGAAGAACTTATAAAGCAACCAGTTTTTAGCCAGGGATGGTCATGCCCATGTCCCCCCTCTCTCAGTATATGGTCATAAAATAGTGCCTTAAACTTTAAAGCAATGATTTATTCATGTCTACTTTTTGTGGTAATGATTAAAATAGAATATCCATTATCCCATGGACATTAATTGAAAACTTTGAACTCTTATGTGAATAAGAGATGAATTTATGTTACTAAAACTATATACGAGTTATGCAACTAAAACTATTTGGGGTGGAACCTTCTGTAGCTAAACTGGTTTAGATGGAACCATTTGCAACTGGAGTATTTCTTTATTCAAACAATTTCGTGACTTTTCCATCCCTGGGGTTTGCCGAGAGGTGTTTCCGACACTGCAACAAAGCAACAAAAACACATGTTAGGTATCTTTTGTACGTTTCACTTATTTTTCTTTTAGCTGAGCGAGCTTTAAGAGCGCTCTCTTTGCTCTTTTCTCTTCGCTTACAGCTGTTATGCTGTTGTTGTTTGTGTTATTTCGGAGAAGCTCTTGAAGCTTGTAGAGCCATTTATATTGAAGGTTTGAGGTTTTCAGAGTAGCGTAAAGATATTAGTTCCTCAACGCCCACGCCCACCCAAAAGTATATGAGTGTGTTTGTAAGCTTTGATATTCTGCCAATGTGGTGCCGCAAAAACGTGTTTCGAGCGCTGTGACCGGCTTTTTTTGCACTCTTTGGCCGTGCTCTTTTGTTGGGAAAGCCCTCTCTTGGCGGCGTCCCGTGCTCCTCGGTTCTAATTCGTGCTTGTGGTTGGGGTTTTTTGAGTTCTGTTTCGTTCGTTTCACTTCAATTTGGAACGTGTATCTGTGCGGTTGTTTTGTATTCGCGATTTACTCAGATGCATATACAAAAATATATACAAACGAGTATATACCACGAATAGAAAGAGAGAGACGACGACGACGACGACACGTCTAGAAAGAGAAAAGATTGCGGTTTTTGTTATATTTGGAATTACTCGTTTCGTTCTGATACAAAAAATGCCATGTGCTTGAAACGCGCAAATTGAAAGAAGCAATAATAACACAAACAAACAAAAATCAGATAGACATCAATATTGTATTCAAAGGCTAACGTCATCCTACAGCCATTCGAATCGAATCTATTATAAAAGAACTAAGAAAACACAAAGCAGAAAACCAAGAGGAAGCTATATTTGAGGTGTGTGTGTTCTCGTGTACGTGTTAGTGTCTACGTGTATGTGTAAAAGTATCTATGAAAAAAATGCTACGGTGGGCAGCAGGCTGTGCGCTCCTGTAACACCCCCTAGAGAATAGCAGACATATGTCAGGGCTCAAATATATATTTACACAGTATACAAGAGAAATCTTTCAAAAGAATACAAAATAATACAATTATTGTGAATATATTTGCATAAAAACACTGAAAATTCGTGGTTACGTCACACCCGTACTCCCCCATACCCATATACCATAAAATACCATACCCATACCCATACTCGTAACACTCTGGATATTAACCGACGCGTGTGTGTGGACCTACCATATACTCGTATTTTTCGCAGAGTCAAAGCAGCGACCTTTCCCTGGTGAACCAACAATCGCAGGCCCTCATACGCCAGGCGGACGCACGCAATCGTCAATTGATTGAGAAGGATAACGGTGACCTGAATCGTTTGTGGCAGGAACTGGTACGCAGCCTCGAACAGCGTCGCGATAATCTGCAACAGTTGGCCGAGCATTGGGATAGCTTTGAGAACAGCTTGCACGGCTGGGAGAAGGCATTAGGTCGACTAGAGGATAAGTTCCGCAATGTCGATCCAACTGTAAGATCCCGACGTCATTTGGAAGATACAAAGAATGCCATTCAGGTGAGTTTATTTTTATTTTTGTAATTTGACTATTTTTAACAGCCTTAAAGAAGAGAAAAGTTTCACATATGTATTAAAACAATGAATAGGGATCTCATTCCTTCTTACATCAGTTAAGTCCCAAGAGATAGTGAATGGTTGATTCATTCAATGAACATTTAAAATTCGCGCTTAAAGATAAAAAATAACTCTAACCGATTCCCCTTGCATAAAAACAACAGTAACTTCTGTAACATAGTGGGAAATATTTACAAAAAAAGTAAAAAAATAGATGCTTCTACTCAGTGTCGTAACTGCTTAGGGTATTTAAACTTCGGCATGTTTAATTAATTTACTTACTTTTGTTTAAGGTCACAAGTAAATTCCATTCCATTCCAAACATATTTGTAAGTCTGATGCGATTTATTCAAATAGGCACCACCTCCCCCTTTGGGCTTGGAGCTCTGTCAAATATTTTTACCAATATAAAGACAACAGAAAATACACATCCAAGTTTACATATTATAGGTTGATAGATTTGTATGTATGTAACATGTTTTGTATATGTATCAAAACCATGCCGACATCAAGTTCATGGTCACGTTGTTGTGGACACTGGACCGTAAGAGCTTCCGCTCTCTTAGTTGAAGCTCTCTCTCTCTCTCTTTATGTGAAATACACCACCTAGCCGGTGTCGCTCTCTCTCAGCTTGAGTTGAGCTTCACGAAACGAAAGCTATAAAGCAGCTGATTTCGGGCACATCTATTTATGTCCAAAAAATCTATTAATGATGCTGCTGTAATTAAGCGAAAACGAGAAAAAGTTAAACAAAACAAAATACAAAACTTTCAGTTTCCTTTATCTTAGTTTTTCATTCTTCTATGGAATCACCTTATGATAGTGACTTATATAACGCTTGATAGCGGAAGCTTCCTAATGCGACTGTTTATGAATTTTTAATGCTAATTTACGTGTAATTTCAATAGTCCAAAGGTGCTTGTTAGTTGTACAACAAAATGCATTATTATTATTATTTATTTTGTATTTATTAGTATCAATAATGAACTTTTTTTGTATTTCTAATCAGTAAAATTGAATCATTTTCTGCTGTAAGATGAGCTCATTGTTTGTTTTGTATTTATTTTTACAAAATAGTACTACATACTATTAATAGCAGACAGCAGTACAAAAGATAGGCATCGCACATTCATTCATATCTACATACATACACCTGTACATCGAGCACTGTGTATATAGCGTAGGCTTTTGAAATCACATTTCAATTGAAGCAATTTGCAGCCATAATAGAGATACGGTCCCCCCGCAACTTCCTTATCGATCTAACGATGTTGTCATACAAGCGCCATATAGGGTACCTATACCTGAGCGATAAAACAACACACAAAAATACACCAAAACTATCCTCAACACAACAATGATAAACAATGACGAAAAATAAGTAAAGGTTTTGACTCTAAATGTGATTTATTTGTTTTATTCTTCTGTTGATGTATCATTAGCTCTTATGTTTTTTCTTAACCAAAAAGAAGCTTTATAGTCAAGTCAACAAATTTATTTTTCTCATTAATTTTTCAATGTTGACCTTCTCAAAAAAAAAAAAGAACTGGAATTCAAAACGAAATTGAGAGTGAAGTAAAACACAAGATAATTCTGCTTCAAAATGAGACGTGTGTTCAGGTTTTTGGTTGAAGAGCAACAAAATACCGAAAAGAGAGCTTTTACTTCATTAAATTTTTCGTTTACTTGATGTCTTAATTAACGTTAATTAATATTAATTGAAATTCCTCAACTATTTTCACATTTTAATTAATAAATATTCTTCGCTTTTATATAGGAATTACTTGAAGAATCAAATCAACTTAAATCATCACATAAAGAAATCGAGACTCTCTCAAAATCCATCCTCACATTCCTTGGGGAAGTACACAAACCCTCGGCGGAGGCCATACAGGCCAAAGTGGATAAGTTAGTTGCACAGCAGGCCAAGTAAGTACATAAAAAACGACTCCTATTTATATTCTTGGCACCCATTTCATGTACATAGTGTGTTCAACTATGCGTGACATGATATCGAGTATCTCCCCAACAAAAAAAAAATATCAAACTTTTGTTTTCTCTCTGAACAAAAACGTTTAAGCCCGGAAATTGAATTGGCTTGCTGTATACATTAGGGTACCCAAAAAAAAAACTTGTTGCCTAATGAAAATGAATGTGGAATTCAAAGAGAATTCAACAGGTTATATGGTTGATCAATTATATATGCAATCACGGGTACCCTTAAACGGGTTTTTGATACGAATTAATACTCAATATATCACTGTAGCTCGGCAGATTATAAGATTAGATGAATTAGGAACTCCGACCAAGAGTTGGAAATGGAGAACGACATAAACTCGAGGAGAAATTGGACTTATATTTGTAGGACTGCTATTCCTTTTTATAATCTACAGATCTGTCACAAAAGATATATTTTTAGTGTATCTTCACACGGATTTATAATCAAAAATCTTTTATTACAGTCAGAATAAATTACAACTTATCAATCAATCAGTCTTTAGGGCTAAATCTTTAATTTCATTGACATAAGAATATAATATAATATTTTATCTAACTTTTTATTTTTACATATCTACATAATTTATTCCAACTGTGAATGGTTGGGCTTTATGGAGATAAAGATAAAGAACTGTTTAAAGAACTTAAAGTATCTTATGGCCTTCTTTTCTTTAGTCAAATATCTTTACTGTTGCGTTTTTACTTTGTTTTTTTTTTTTAAATCATAACTTTAACAAGAAAGTACTTACTGTGATCTCTACCTTTTGGCTTAAAGTATCTTTTCTTTAAGTATCTATTCTCGTAGTTTGTGGGTTCGTCAAGCCCTCTAAATTTGTTTATATTGTTGTTGCTCACCAGACGCTAACTGACGTCAGACCGAACCAACTGTTACGCTTCGCAAGTGCTTTCGACAACGCGAGAAAAGAGAGAGAGAGAGGAGGGGTCCCTCATTTGAGCATTACGTAAGCCAGAGTTTATGTATGGCTCTGCTTCTCATCTTACCCTCAGAGCCCTCAGCAAAAAGAAAGAACTTCACGTTTACGAGTGCTATAGCGTAATTCTGGGAATATAAACAAAGAGAAAATGTTTTATTTTCATTGGTTTTCAATTAACAGGGGCTATCCCGTTCCTAACTAGAAACTGTGCCAAACCTCTTCGGTCTTATCAAAGGCGATATGAAAGACCTGTCCGTATATACAGATTTATATATAAAAATATATATTTATACACATATATGTATAATACTATACTACAAGCATGAGTATATTTTATTTGACGCTTTCCGCTTGAATGATAAGAGAATGGGTGGGGGACTCCACAATCAGAAGACAAAAATTCTTTTACTTTTTGCGGAAATGATCGTACTCGTACGTTTATAAATAAGTGTACAAATTTCTTCTTCTTTTGCTGTTGTTCTTTAAATGCCCTGGCGCTTGAACAAATTTAGCATTGTGCCAATTCCTATTTGTATATATATTGTCTTTGCTAATTTGTTGGGATTTTCATTGCTAATTTGACAGTTGTTTTGTGGGTTTTCGTGCTGTGACCATCACGTGCTAAGATACACAGATAGGCAATGCAACATGTTGCCAGAAACATGCACAACATGTATGCATACGTCTCTCAGATCACGTATACCCCCTCGCTTGCTCTCGTTCGGCTTCTTCCGTTGACGAGGGAGACCTATGCCTTTGGCCTTTTTTTTTTACTTTTAATGCAGCAGCCACTGACACAATTTTCTCTTAGCCGAAAATGTTTTTGTTGTTGTTATATTTATGTTGGTTCTTTCAGTTTTATTTTTATACAACAATGTTGTTGAATTTTTTTCTTTGACAGCAGAGCTGCTGCCTGAAAAACGAGAGCAGCAGCTGTTGCTATAGATTTTCCTCAATATGCCTACGTTTTTCTGTGGCCTAAACAGTGGGACAGTAGACAAATGTTTTGACTGCTGCTTGCGGTCTGGTGACCGTATAATTGTTATATTGATAATATTGCGATGATTCTAAGGAAATCCCATGATAATGTTCCTTGACATCTATGAAAATACATATCCGAATGTATGAATAGAACTTTTATTGCTCGCATTATATTAAGACCATATTCAACCTCAAATGTTCATCTTGTATGGGTAAATAGTTTCCCGCTGATCGATTGCCCTCAAGAAAGCATGAAAAAAATGTCTTCCTTTAATTGTTTTCATATCCAAAAATGATCCACAATGAGAACTATGCCATCATCAGTGCCGAAAGGAATGATCTAATATGCCAACACCACGGCATGCCGGTTGTCATCGATAATTATATAGTCGGACGGAGGAGATATAATATGTATAACTACGTGTATATTATGTATCCTTAAACTGCGACGCATTTGAACATTTCAATGCACTTACACACTTGAGATTTAAATACATTTTTTCGTCGGGCACATGCGAGAATCTAATCAACAAAAAAGACATTAAATATTGCGTAATCCTTTTTTTTTTTGCAATTTTTTGGTGGTCATTATAATAATTTATTTATAAATATTTTGCAGTGGAGATTGGGGTGAAAGATATGGGAATTAACTTCATTAGCGCATTTTTCGAATAATTTCCTCCAGACACAAACAGAGAAAGAGACATTTTTAAAACACAAAGAAGAGGAAATGTGCTAGAAAATAAATAAAAAACAAATTGAATAAAAAAATGTAAACAACAGCAGCCGCACAAAAATCATAAAAGATTAAGTAAATAATACTTGTCGAACGTCAAAAGAGAGGAGCGAAATTTTGGCATACACTAACAGAAAAAGATGTTATGCCTTTTAAAGATAAGTTTGCGACGAAGACAGATATATATGATCTCAAATTATTCATCTTATTCTTTTTACTTTACCAACTTTATCTTTAATGAAACCTTAACACATCGAAACGATCGTGTAGGAAGTGTATTTAAAAATCTATCCCTTCCCATTTTTTGTTATTGCTGTACTTTTGCCGCTGACTTCATCGATGAGCAATAAGCAAAGAGATGAAGCAAACGCGTGAAAAAATTCAAGTGTGCAACAAATTATACAATTTCAATACAATCAAAACCAAACTATAGCTGAATCATACATACTATGTACATATAAGGAAAACCTTATCAGGTGAACTAAAACATTCCATAAGCCCCAAAATCGAACTTAATCTGAGATTTGCATATGCATTTGCATTAACAATTTGTCATTTTGGCATAGTAAAAAAAAAGAGAAACCTAAAACAACAACAAAATAATAATAACACAAACTCTGCCCAAATGAGGTAATCGGGTAATTATAAATTTATTTCAGACGGCGTTCCCCTCGCACTACAGTGCACTGTTAGCAGGCTTACAGAGCTTTTACAGTATGTTAGGTAGCGCTGTTCCGTTTCAATTCCAAAGCGTTTCGCTCCCTCTCTCTGCCTGTGCGTGGAAGATTTTGATATCTCTCCTTCTGTGCGCGCTCTCTCTCTCTCTCTCTCTCTCTCTCTCTCTCTCTCTCTCTTTATCTCTGGTGTTATTTTATAGCCGGCTTTTCTTATCTTTTAGAACCGGCAAAATGACATTAAAGCTTTATCAAAATATGCAACAACATTTATGCACTTTCTGGGGGAGTTATTAAGGGATATTTTTGATTTAATCTACAGCAACGGCAGCAGCAAAACTTATTAATGAGTACATTTCAATGCCAAGCGCATTTAGCATATAATATATATTTTTTTAGTGCTAACCAACCATTCTCTCCTCCTCTCTCATATCTTTTGGTATGCGTAAGTGTGGTGAAATTTGTTTCGTTCTTTTATTTTGTATTTCCGTCTGGCGTTCGCTCGCTCTCGTGCGCCGCTCGCTGTTAACGATCGCTTGAGCGACAGCCTCGACCCGACAACATTTTGGCAATTTTCGTGGGGCCGCAAGAATATTTGAAATCAGTTTTTATTTAGAGTTAGTTGCAAGCGGACGTGTGTTTCCATTTAACTGGATGGCTGGAAACTATCAAAAGAGCACAATCGAACGAATATTTAAATCAAATTAAATTTAAAAGTAGTAAAACCAGAGAAGCAGCAAAATATTAGCAGGCGGCCCACCAAAAGAGAGATGTATACAAATACAACAAATTGAATTCCTTTCGAGCCAAGTGCTCACGAAAATAACAATTTTTCTTTTCCATTTCGTGGTAAATTCTTTCTGATGCAGTTTCTGAACGACGCCGCTTTGTGGATTACCAGGCGTTCAGGAAAAGAGAAAGAGTTTTGTATTTAGCAGCTGCTGCTTTCTTTTCACTCGTGCTTTGTTAGTGGAAATTAAGAAAAGAGCTAGAAGGAGGAGTGACTCTAGTTGGGCACACGTCTGCCTCCGGGCCAAAGGAGGTGTGACAGTAGTCGCCACAAGAAAGACACAAACGAAGCCAAAGGCCACAAGACAAAAGCGCCTCAGAAGCTAAAATAAACGACGGGAGTCTAACTAATTGCTCAGCACGAATAGAAAAACAACTTAACGCACTTCTAGTTAACGTCGTCAAAAGCAAGAGGTGATAAAAAAATAACAGAACCGAACATTTAAGCCTAAGCCAGCAACGTTTCTAAGTCTAGGCCCGATTAAGTCATCGTTTTCAACAGAAATAGAGAGAGAGGGAGAGAGAGAGAGAGACTCTCCTGTGGTCATATGCAAAACAGTAACAGAAAACAATCTTTTTTTTGTACCGTGGTCTTTCGTACTCGTATTCGCGAATCAGAGACCTATAACAGACCCGGTACCTGTCCAGGGTCGTCAGGTGTTTTGTTTAGAGAGGGAGAGAGAAAAACACTGAGAGAGAGACATAGAGGGAGAGAGCATATATTTCGCACGCGTTTCTACTTTAAACGATGACGTAGTCGTTGGTGACAGAAATAACCTAAACCCTGCCGAACGAATCGAATGCCGCTTATCGTCTGTTGTTTCTACCTCTGATTACACATTCCTCGCAGTAACAGCAGCAGCAACCATAATTGATTCAGAAATGTTTTCAATATGCGGTTTTTCCAATGCAAAAAACAAATCTCAGAAACACACTCGCACGCCTTTCACTTTCACTCACTTCCACACTCTGTGTGTGTGTGTGTGTGTAATGGCATTTCTCAAATATTTTGCCATTTAAATTAAAGCCGTGCACTAAATTTAAATTCGTTAATTTGTACAAAATGGCAGACCGGACTGAAAATAGCTGAAAATTCTAGAGGGGAAATATTTTGCTTTCCTTCTTATTTATTTTGGTATTTTTGTCTTGTTTATACGCTTGCCAGATAGTGGGTATTGTGATTTTGAGGAGATATTTGTTCTGGACGGGAGGATACATTTCAGCGACTAAAATGCGATTTCATTATCACAGAGCCAAAACTACCAAAATTACGATTTAAAGTATACTAATAATCCAAACAGAAAGTTTAGTTTATGCTTCAAACACTTCAACCAAAATTGTAACAAATTTCCCTTTCAAATAACTATCTATAAGGGTATCCAAAGCTCTTTGATTCCTTATTTTCAAATGTGATCTTTGATTTTTCGTGTGAAATGAAAACCCAAACATTGAGAAATTTTCGTATTTTACTCGCGAAAAATGACGCCGAAATAATTTCGTCGAGTTTATAGACTCGTCTCGTATTGTATCCCCCGTATTTCCGCTGCCAGTTTTTCTTTTTTCTTTAACAATTAATTGTAAAATGTTTCGGCCGACTTTTGTGGGTCTGTGCTGTTGGCCAAGTGCCAAATGTGTGTTGACTTGGCCTCCTCATTTCATCTCATTTTTTCTTTTGGGGCCATGCCTGTAAAGGGCAATAAACGATTCCATTAACCAAGCGTCAGGACCTTGTCCAAAAGAAGACTAGCCGGCGACGTCGGCGGCGGCATAAATCTTTCAATCATTCACTCATTCAATTCCCAGCCGGGCGCCCCCAAGGCGTATGCGTGTTGTGCGTCATATGCTGGAAATACTTAACCACAGATCGGGGCAAGAATATGCAAAAATTGTAGGAAATTCGTGGCCATTGATTCATCTGGCAGTCGCTCTCTCAATCTCTCTGGTTTCTAGGTCGATGCAACGCCCAAAATGACGTCAGACAATGACTGAAATGCATAGCCACACGAATATACAAAATTAAACATGCGCCGCCATTAAAAATACACACAAGCTAAAATATTCTAATATATAAAAACAAGAAGCCAAAAAAATTAGAAACTATAAAATTTTAAAAGTCGTGCGTGCTGGCATAAAACTGTTTTATCTAAAAGAGATATATTTAATGTCTCTCTTTGTGTGATCTTTCTCCACTCTTTTTGAGCCTTTTAAATCATTTTTGAGAGGTCTTTGCTCTCTCTTCTGCTCTCTTTTCTGTGTTGACTCTCAATGGGCTCAAGGTAATTTCGAATTATGAGCAATTTTCGAAATTCGAATAGCCTGAGATCCGCTGGGTCTGGGGTCCGTGAAAATGTGCTAGTGAGATTTTTCTTCATTAAGAAAACTCTCTTGTAGCCAAACGGCAGCATTCAATTTTCACGGAAATCTTCGCAGAAGAAACCTCGAGGCCATAGACAAACGCATAATACATATATATCTTGAAAAACTTCAGAATTGTGTTTCAGAACGAGAACATCCACAAAGAGATACCAATATATATACATTTTATTGTATTGTGTTCGAGAAGACACGCGCTGAACGTTTCTATCTATACAACGCAAATCAGAACCGCGTGGTTTTGCCTACAGTCACACGACCAGCAGTCCCATTTTGTAGTCCATGCCATTGAATAATACGACCCTGAATATTCTCATTTTATTTGCAGATTGAACGACACGCTACGCGAGAAGGAGCAACAGGTTAGCCAGGATCTCGACGAGATCGAGCAAGTCTTCCGTCGCATTTCGCAGCTGCAGGACAAGTTGAACGCCTTGAACGATCAACTGCAATCGATACACGTCTACGACGAGCACATTGCCCAAACAGAACAGGCCCTGATCACTCTCAACAGCCAAGTGCAGCAGGCGGCCGAGGAGAGTCGTTTGCTGGTTAGCCAGACAACGGCCAAATATCAGGCCAAGCAGAATCTACTGCCCAACGACATTGCCCAAGAGTTTACAGCTCTTGAGCTGCTTTCGGAACGTGTACAGGTGACGATGGAGACCAAAGAGAAGGATTTCAAGCGTGCCAAGACCGTGCGCACCGAGTATGTGGCCGGTGTGGATGAGATCCAGCGCTGGCTGCTGCAAGCCGAAGTGCAGGTGCAGGAGCGCACTCTCAGTCCGACACAGATGAAGGAGCTGCTGCAGCGCATCAATCATGAGATCACCGCCATCTACGAACGCTTCACCCTGGTCAAGACCAACGGTCAGCTGATTATCGAGAATTGTCGCAACAGTGAGGAGAAGACACTGGTGCAGACGACCATCGATCAGTTGGCCGCATCCCTGGCCCAAGTACGTGGCTGGTTGGACGAGAAGAAGCAGGCGGTGGGCGATAGCCTCGATGCTTGGACGAGATTCATGAATCTGTATCAAATTGTCATGTCCTGGGCGGCCGAGAAGCGTACGTTTATCGATCAGTCGATTGATTTGCGCACCCTGCCCGAGGCCAGGAACAAACTGAACGACTATGTGACGGCTGTGAAGAGTATTAAACCGATTGTCAAGCATTTGAGCGAAATGGACAAGGAACTGGATCACATTGGCCAAGTGACGACTGTGGGCGATCTCAAGGACAAACTGCAGGAGGCCGAGGATGCGAAGATAACCGTGGAAGCGGTGCTGCTGGAGAGGGTAACCCCTACACTGATGATACATCTCTCTTTTGGCTTGTTCCATAACTAACATTTCTTCTCTTGACTAGAACTCTCTGCTGCAAGAGGCCTGCGAGGAATGGGATCAATGTGAACGCAAAATCAAGGATATACGTGCATGGCAAGAGAAGACCAAACAGGGTCTGGACTCGTCGCAGCAGCAGAAGAAACCGCTGCGCGATCAGCTTGGATTCTGTGAGAAGACACTGGCCGACATAAATGTGCAAAAAACAAAACTGAGACTGTCTATCGAGAAGCTGGAGGTGAGTGCCCAAAGCAAATGGAATAGTTAATCCATCAACAAGAATGCATTGCCATGCATCCCGCATCCTTTCTCCGCTTTCCCCTTTCTGCGTTCAATTCCCAGGTTCACTTCCGCAATGGCATGGGTGGTGATCCACGCCTTAGCGAGAATGTTGACGATCTGGTGCGCGTGCTCGATGGCTTGGGTGAATTGGTGAAAGCCAAGTCCCAGAGCCTCGAGCAAACGCTGGCCCAGATCGATGTCTACCAGCAGCAGATGCAAACGCTGCGGCAGCGCATCATCCAGGAGGAGCAACAGCTGCGTCTGGTGATGGCGCCCACGTACTTGCCACACGATCGTGAGCGAGCATTAGCCGATCAACAGGTACGTAACATCCCAGAGTCTTTATATCAACAGTATAGATCAGAGCCCCCCTCTATCTCCAGTTAGTAGTTTACTCCAGCTAGCAGATCAGTTCAGCTCAGACTATATTTATATATCTCTGTTGTGTTAGGAGCTCTTTCTAGTAATGTTTTTCCCTACCCCCTTTTTATTCTATAACTCATTTCCGTCATTGCTATGGAACGATCTTCATTGATATGCCAAAAACAGTTGACAGAACAACCCGGTTTGTTAGCCAAAAAAACAACAACAGTTATTAACACTCCATATGATATTTATTTTAAAATAATATTTGATTAATCTATGAAAAAAAGTCCCCTGTCCCCACATGCGCTTTTAAAGTCTGCGCCGGGTAGGTCGAACAAAAGTTGCACGGTGGCTGCGTATTATTTTATTTTCTTTTACTTTATATTTTTCTTATTCTATTTTGTTTTCTTTAATTTTTGCGGCATTTGTTTATTTTTTTCTTTCTTTTTTTTTGTTGATAAATTCTCTTACGTTTTTATTTTCGAATTCATTTTTCATTATTTTATGCACACACAGAAGACAGACAAAGATCAACACATACATAATCGATTCATTTTTGTGCTTCCTTCGGTTCTCCCCCATCACATCATCACATCACCAGCTCTCATCGTGCAGCTCTCATTCTCTCATGTCTCATCTCTTTCTCTCTGATTGTGATACCCACAAATCGTAATACCCTCTTTATCTGTCAGAGAACTGCTTGTGGTACTCGCTTCATTTGTCACGTGCTGCAGCCAAACAATTTTTAAATATAATAGGGAAAACAAATAAGTTCTTGTTGTCAGGGTTAGCCCACACATGAAAAGAAAAGCCAGGAATTTTCTACCTCCAGACGTTTTATTTTTAGACCAGCAAAATTGCTCTTTATTTGTGTTGCCGTTCTCCTTATAAACAACCCTGATGAAATTACTATATTTAAAGAAAAGCAGGTGGCCTAAAGAAAATGTTCATTCTGTCTGAAATAGTTTATAGTTTTTAATATTAAAATTTAAGTTTACATTGCGAATTGCAGTGTCTGGCGGTAAGTGGCAAACAAAAAACTCAAACTTTAAACTCAAGAATTCCAAAACGATATTTGAAATGTAGTTACAATTTGTTGATGATAATTGCGGGGCAAATCTTGCTATGAGAACTTATTTTGGATACACCCAATCATCACCTATCAATCACATCTCTCCCTTTCTCACGTTGCACTCATAATTACAAATAAGAAAACACAGTCATCACATCACATCTCACGCATTTAATGGCATACAAAGAACACATTAAGCTTACGCTTAGACATTTATTATGATTTAATTTTTTGGTTTTTATATCATTTTGAAATCTAATTAGTCAGCTTACAGCCGAGAAAACATTTTTCGTCACTCAATTATTGCCTTACCTCTCTCTATCTATCTATATAAATCTATCTCTGGTATTAGCGGAAATCGGTTAACTTTTAATTATGGTTACGGTTTCTAATCTTTTGGTATTTTATTTTTGACAATTTGTATTTCTTTTTTTTATCTCTCATTGAAAATATATTCGTATAAATTACGAAAATTCCTGGTGTCGTTGCGCTGATATAAAAAAACAAAACATCCAAATTGCTAAACACTCTCCATAAAAATTAATACGTATATCTCGCTCGTTTACTAATATTCCTAACTCTGGTTCTTGGGCTTTTGCTACTCGCTTGTCGCCTGCTGAAACCTGTGACTAAACACCTCAAATCTCTCACTCTATAAACCATTCCCAAAAACATAAAACATTGACACACAAACCATTAATATATACATGAGTACTGCTTACTTCTTCTACGAAATATACAAAATATCAAACATGGTCTATGGTTGCTTTTTGTATCCCTCTCTCTATATCTCTCTCCACCCCCATATGGCGCTGTCTAAATAAATTACCATTAAATGAAACTCAAATCTCAATATGCTGACATTTTGTTTGTATTTCTTCTCTGCCTCTCTCACGCCTGAAAAAAACTCTTTCTGAAAAACTATCAAATATCGAACATGCACTATATATATACCCCATACACACGATATATAGGCATGCCGGGAACGTGTGAAAAATCTGCATTCGAAAATAACCGCACGTAATGAGCGCATCAAGTTGTTAATACATCGGGGCACGCCGGACGATGCCAAGCTAGAGATTTAGAGATGCCCTAGTCGTAGCCCCGAGCCCCTTTTAAATATAAAATTAATTTTTAAAGCCACAATTTAGGACTAGAGCAAACATATTTTTTGACAGTCGTTGGTCGCCCCTCCCTTCATGCCGCCAATAATTCTCCCCTAAAATTCAGTGTGGCACCACACTGGAGTGGAGTGGCGATCTGTTCGACTGTCAACTGCCACACACATGACCCACAACATGTTTAAGGAATATCTATACCAAAACAAATACCAAAAAAATACTCTCCTATATGATATAAATATCTAAAGAATAAATTTAAATTATGAAATTGTTTATCTAATTTTTTTGTAAATGCAAAAACCGAAAGAGAGTATGATTTTTGATAGGGACAACATTTTCAGAGATCTATAGGTTTAATTCTTGTTAGGTAGGGTAGCCCTTTGACCCTATTTGACCCCCCTGAAAAATAAACAAAAACCATATGAAATAGCTAACGTTTTTGGCAAATCTTCCCCCTATCTCTCTCTCTATCTCTCCATCTAAATCATTGATGAACGATGATGAACGACATTAGGCAATGCGAGAATCAATCGATGGCATGCAGCAGACCTACGATGCAACCGCCAGAAAGTCCTATGCTCTGGATCCCCATTCAGTGGTAACCACTTCATCGACTGTGTCGTTGCTTATGAAGCCAACGGCCGTAGGTTTGACCTATGCTGAAGTGTTATCGGGACAAACGAGTCCGGTAAGCGGTAATGAGACGACCCAAGTGACAGCAGCCCCAACGAAAAAACCCAGACAAGAACGCGTATCCCCAGCCACTACAACGAACCGGCAAGAACAACACCACCAAGAAACTGCACACAACCAGACAACAATTACAACAACCATTACGACAACGACAACATCCACGACTTTGACACGTACGCACGACGATGACCAAATCGAACTGAATGGGGAAGGTATAACCACTGCGATCTATGAAAGCAGAGATCAGGTTAAGGTACCCCAACAGGTTACAGCAACACCTCAAATCGAGAGTCATGTGGAGACGATCGAGATCAGCAACAGCAGCACGGCACAACAGCAACAAGTTCCTAACCAACCTCAATCTACCAGAAACCCCAGCAGTCAGCAGTTCATTGAAAACGAGAGGCAATATCATGTGAAAACGGGTAAGAATCTACAGCCTCCCAGGCCAGAACGTCGCGGACGTTCGCCGAGACGCCGACGAGAGCCTCCCACAATCGTGCAGGAACAGCAGCAGCAACAACACCAACAGGAGCAAGAGCAGCAACTCTTCTTGCCAATGGATGATCGTACTAGATCGCGTAGCCCTATGTGGGTGCCCGGTTCGACGTCCTATGCGGAAGTACTGCGAGGCCTGGAACTCGAGCGTCTGAAGCAGCAGGCGGCTGAGCAACTGGCCGCCCAAGCAGTCCAGAGTCATGCTACGGATTTGACCATACAGGATGTGGTGGACGCTAGTGCTGCGGTAGCAGCCAGTATGTACGTCCCTGCAGCAGAGCCTGAAATTATCGAGGAACCAACACAACAGCAATACATCAGCGAGGTCAATCCAGAACATGGATATGTTCCGCCCCAGCAACAGCAGCAACTGCCACAAGTGGAAGGTGGAAACAATTACGAGATACCCATGACAGCGGAAGAGATTGCCGCCACTTACTTGCAGCCCGATCCACAGCTGTATCAAACGATGTACGAGAATGTGGCCGATAGTGGCCAGTGGGGCTATGTGGCGAATGCCAGAACAGTGCCACAGCAGGAGCAACAGCAGCAGCAGCAGCCACAGAACTACTACGAGCAAATGCTGCAGATGCAATATCCCATGCAGTATCAGCCCGTTGCAGTGCAGCCAGCGACAACACAGTTTCAACTGCTGCCCGGCTACTACCAGCCCATAGCCACAACCGACAACTACTCAACGCTCTATCCCACAGAGCCATCGCAGATTTACTTTACCCAACCGACTGTAGAGTACTCACAGGAGTATCAAACGCAGCAGCAGCAGCAGCCACCTCAGCAGGAAGCTGTGATCTATCAGCAGGAGACGACAGAGCAGACCTATCTGCTAGATCCGTACAGCGTACAGGAGTCGGCGACGGGTAACAGCGTGCTGGATCGCGTAGTCACCACACTCGCATCAATGGTGCAACAGAGCTCCGAACCATTGACCACCAGTACGCAGCAGATTCAGCCCACTGTGGTGCAGATCGAATCCGAAGAAGAGGAGCCCCAGTACTATATCGAAGAGAGTGTACAAATGCTGAGGTCAGTGGAGCCACAGGAGTTTGAGGTTGATGAGCCACGACCCGACATTACCTTTGGCCAGTTTGATATGGATGCCATTGAGACGATACCCATTGAGGTGCAGCAACCACAGCCACAAGTGCAGTCTCAGCCCCAGCCTCAGCCCCAGCCCCAGCCCCAAGTGCAAGCACAACAGAAATCCAATGTCGTTTCGACAACAAGCTATGTTCAGGAAACCATTGTGTCGGATCAGACGACAGAACAGCCAACTGTGATAACTCAGCAAGTCAGGACTCGATCAGTAGTCCCCGAAACGACAGCAGCGACCACAATCACTGTGCGTCCCCAAGACCAACGTGTACAGCAGCAGCACCAAGAAATCCAGCCTCAGGATATCAGCGCCGGTAGTACTTACGCCGAAGTCTTGTTCGGTCTACAGCACAAAGAACAACAGCAACAGCAATCAGTTTTCCAGCCATCCAGTCAGCAGCTACAACAGATACCCGTACGCCTATCGCCGCCAACACAACGCAGAGCTGCAGCTGAATACACAACGAATACAAAGCATACAACAGTTACAACCACAACGATCACTAACTCAAGAAGATCGCCAACTTGGGAGCGCAGGGATGATAATGCCGACACTAGAACATCGCGTCCAAAGCGAGTGCGACATGAGACCCAACCCGAACCGTTGCCGATTAAGGTTAGCACCCGTAAGGATACAAAATCGGGCAAAAAGCCTAGATCTCCGGAGAGCAATGGTGTGGAGAGCATTAAATTGGTGCAAGAAGTTGTTGAAGAACCCACCAAACAGCCAGAGCCGAAGCCAAGAAAGTCGAAAAAACCCAAAAAGACAACCGATAATGTAACATTTATAGATACAGTGCAATTTGTGGAACCCAAAGTGGATGCAGTTCCAGTGGTGTTCAAGCAGGAGAAAAAACAGACATCACCAATTCTAGAGAAGAAGCAAAAGTCACCAGTTCTTGAGAAGAAGCAAACGTCACCAGTGCTGGAGAAGAAGCAAACGTCACCTGTTCTCGGACAAAACAAAAACTCAACTGCTGTGGAGCGAAAGCAAACCGTATTAGAGACTACAGTTACCACCACCCAAACGATCGAGCCTGCTGTGTTGGGAGTCACTTCTATCCCTGAGCCAACACCAAAGAAGGAAAAGAAGCAACCCGCTAAACCTATAGCCGAAAAGCCTCAAGTCAGCAAGAAAACTGCCGAGCCAGTCAAAGAAAAGGAGACTGTAAAGCCTGAAGTGATTGAAACAGTCGTTGCAAAGAAGGAAGAGGTTGAAACTGTCGTAGCTAAGAAGGAGGTTCCAGCTCCAGTTGCGCCTTCCCGAAAGGAAAAGAAACAGTCAAAGACGACAGTGGAGAAGGTTGTTATCAGCAGCACAACCAAATCTGATGTAAAGGAAACTGTCGCACCAGTCATCGAAAAGGAGATTGCGGAACCAGTCATTATAAAGGAGATTGTCGCACCAGCTGTGATTGATACCAAGGAGAAAATCGAAGTCCTGAAGACCCACATCGAAGAAGCTCCAGCGACACGTTCGAAGAAGGAAAAGAAACAGACCAAAACAGTTGTGGAAACTACAGTCACCAGGACAGAGCCTCCTGAGGAGATTGCCAAAGCGGAAATTATTGCAGAAAAAATTGTTGAATCGGAATCAGTCAAAGATACGGAGATTGTAGAGCCTGAAGTTCCAGTTTCAACACCCAAAAAGGTGGACAGGAAGCGTGCCAAGAAGGAGGCCAAGCCTGAAACAGCATCTAAGATAGAGGTAGCTGTTGCTCCAGTTGAGGATGTTTCAGTAATTATTGATTCAAAATCCACAACAGAGACTGTTACGAAAGTCACTAAAGGCAATATTGTGGATCAAACAGTTGAGCAAACGATCGAAGTAAGCATTCCAGAAGTCTTACCTACACAAACAGAACCTGAGCCAGTAAGTAAGCCAGTAATAGAAGCTGAAACCGTGCCAGAACCTGTAGAAATTCCTTCTCAGGCTCTGATTACAACTACAGAAACGTCAACAGAGTTATTGAATGGTACTTCCGTATTGCAGGAGACAGTAAGTCCCGTCTCTACGGAAATAAGTGAAACGATTACTGAGGGTGAGCCTACAGTAACGACATCGTCCAACACAATATCAACGGAGAGTGGAACCACCACCATCACCACGCGTACAATAACCAAGCACATAACCAAGCGTATAGTCAAGCGTATTGTAGATGGTAAAGAAGAGATTGTCGAAGAAGATGTGATTGATGATTTGCCCGAAGAGAATATCTCCGTGGAGCAGTTTAATCTACCAACAATTGAAACCACAAGTACCGAGGTGCCCATTGATGTGAGTGGACTCTCGACTACACAGGACACCATCGTGCAGCAGGGATCGATAACTAAGACAACCATTACCAAGACAAAGCGCATCCTGAAGCGTATCACCGAGGATGGCGAGGAAATTGTTGAGGAGGTCTTTGAGGATGAACCAGAAGTGGAGAGAGATGTTACGCTACTGCCAACGACAGTAATAACCTCCACGGTGGAGCACCAATCAAACATCCAGGAGGCTGCCCAGAACGTGGTTGATGAAGTTGTCAAGCAAGCCGAAGAATTAACCCAACCTGATGAGCAAAAGGCAAAGGACAAAAAGAAGGCCAAGAAGGAACAGCTCATTCCCGAACCAGAGAAAACATTATTGGTTGCAGAACCACAAGTAACAAAGGAAGTTGTGGAGGAAGCACAGCAGAAGAAACCTCAAAAGCCTTCCCGGAAGGACAAGAAAAAACACAAGAAGTCGGAGAGCGAAGTCCCCACACCCATTGTCCAAAAGATAGCCGAAATTATAGAGCCACAGCCAGAACCACAACAAGAAATTACAGAGCCCCTGAACAAACCAAGTGCAATTACTACGGATGAGAGACAAACCCTGTCATCGAATGGATCTGTTGTCAGCAGCGATGATGGCAGCGGCCTCATCAAGACGACTGTCATTCGTACAACCAAAATCGTTAAGAAAATCAGCAGCAGTCAGCAAGATAGTCAGGAGATGACATCTTCCACGCACTCGGACGTGCAATCCGTGGGCTCCTTTGAACTGGCCGATGAAGCTATCGAACAGATCGAACCAAAGATTGAGAAATCCGAAACGAACAGTCGCGAGATAAGCGATGAGGGTGTGGTCAAGACAACTAAAACGACAACGACTCGGACCATCAAGAGCCCAAAGACCGAGGAAGTGCCCGTTGAGGTCACATGGGAGATGCCAACTGAAGAGGAACCTGCAGTCTCCACTCCTTCGGTTATCGAGGAGCCTGTCGAGGGTGGTGTGATAAAAACCACTATTGTGCGCACCACCAAAATCGTGAAGAAGATTTCCCAGGAGAGTGAAAACATCAGCGAGACCAGCAGTGAAGCCGAGACTTCCCTAGAGTTCATTCAGGATGCTCCACTTGTTGCTGAATCCGTGACCACAGAATCAAACAGTGAGGGAATCACAAAGACCACAACTACAAGAACCACAAAGTCTGTAAATAAGAGTGTAGAAGAAGAGTCTCCGGTTGCTCCAGAAGATAAATGGCTGACAGCTCTTCCTGACGTTCCAGAAACAACTGAAATAAAGACAACCATTCAAGACTTTATTTCTGCCGAACAGAAGGCAACACAAAAGATACCAGAACCCGAGAAACACTTTGCCGAACCCGTTGAAGTTGCAGTTCCAATTATAGAAGAGCCAGAACAAGGAAATGGAATAGTTGAGGAAATCCTGGTGTCGCAGCCAGATAATTCCGAGGTTGGTGATGTTGTCAAGACAACAATTGTGCGAACAACAAAAATTGTCAAGAAGGTGTCTCAAAATAATGAGCAACAATTCGTTAGTGAGCTTGTAGAAGCTCCGGAATCAGAACCAGTGCTACCTGTTGCTGAAGAGGAGACGATCGGAGGTGCTGTAACCAAAACGACAACCGTGCGTACGACAAAGATTGTGAAGAAACTGAACGAAGATGGTGAAACGACCAGAGAGGAGAGCAGCAGCACTATCAGTGATCCTCCCGTCACAGTGCGTGAAGCGTCGCCAACGATTTCAGAGATTCCCAGTGAAACTTCGACAACATCCAGTCAAATCGATGGAGCGATTATCAAGACCACAACGATACGTACGATGCGCATTACCAAGAGAATAACCAATGACGGACGCATACTCCTGACTGAAAGTGACTCGCCGGGCGATGTTATTGTGACATCGAGCATCGAAATGCCAGATCAAAGACCAGTGAGTCCAGTTGTAGCCACAGCCTCCACCACTGTCGTTGTTACACCCAGTAGCGAGGTCAAGTTGGAGAATCTAGGGGCCACAAACATTCAGTTGGGATCAGTTAAGGATAGTCCCACTGGGGTGAAGGTCATTGGCATTGAGACAAACACTGTCGACCTGCCGAACCTTAGGGAACAGGTCAAAACAGAAACTAGAACCAACGGGGATATAAACGAAACCGATAGTATTACCACTACTACGACGACTACCAGAAATACGATACTCACGACAACCCAACGACGCAGCTTCGAGACCGAAGATGGCACAAATGTTCTTTTCGTGGGAGAAGGCATTGACAGTGCCTATCCACCAGGCACAGTGCAAAAGATATCCCTTATTACGCATGAAGAGAAGCTGAAGACACCGATTGTGAAAATGCATCTAGATTTTCCAGAGGTTAGTCTTCGTGTAACCGAGACGGTGACGGAAAATGTGGAGTCCCTGCAAAGAACCGCCGAAACTAGTCAAAACTCTGTGGTTGAGATAGTCGAAGAGGCAGCAGAACCCGTCGTAGAGTCCATTTCTTCGGAAGTCCAGTCTGAAAAACTCGTCAAGGTTACAGATTCAACAGAAACTGTGGCAGTGACGAGTGTGGCATCTGCGGAGATCATTCCAGAGCCACTAAAAGAAACTGTCCAAGCAGAGGTTATTAAAATTACAGAACCTACTCAAGAATTAGTAGTCCCTGAAGGTAGCAAGCCCCTGTCCCCTGCAGAGCTGAGTCCCGAAGAGCAGCATCTGTTCGAGGAAATTCAGAAGAAACTCTCTAAGAAAGATAAGAAGAAACGTCCAGCTATACCCGAAGAATTCATTAAGCAAGAGACCACTCAGATTATTGTAGAAGAAAGCAAAGGTACTGAAATTATTAATGAGAAACAGGTCCTAGCCGAAGTCGTTGTCCCTGCAGTCCCCTTAGAAGTTGACCCCGAGCAGTTGCTATCTAATATTTCTCAGGATGAAGCTTTGATATCCAGCGTTAAGTTAATCGAGCAGACAAAAGCAGATACTATTTATCGTGAATCTGTTGAGGTTACGCCTGTCCCTGAAATTGTTCCAATTGCAAGTCCAATTCAAGAAGAAGTTCCAGTAGATACTCAGTCAAGCCACAGCCCAGCTCCTACTAAAACCGCTAATCAAACTGTTCCTGCCCAATCGAGCGCCCTAATTGCTGAGCCATTTGTAGCTAACACGGTAAGCACTCTAAGTACTATCATTAATATTCAGCAAATCTCTGCACTTGATAAAATCTTTGAAGTTCCCAAATTTGATATATTGAAACTTAATATTGCTGAGGGTAATTATCACATAATCAATTCCAAGGCTAAAGAAATCGATCAACCAGCTCCCGTTCAACCAGCAGAAGTTACGGCGCCAAAGACGGTAAGCTTTGCCGACGAAACCGAAGCTATAGTCAACAAAAACATCACAGAAACCATCACTAAAACGCAGGAGTCCCCTGTCCTCCCCGTCGAAACCAAAACTGTCCCTGCAATTTACAACTTTGAAGTTCCTAAATACGACATCATTTCGCTCAACAAGGCGGAACTTTTACAAAAAACGGTAGAGGCTACAACAGTTTTAACAGAAACCACTTCGACAACAAAAGAATCTTCTGCTAAAGAAGAAAATACAAATGTCACACTAGAAACTGAAACGGTCCCAACAACACAACAAAATCAACCAATTCCAGAAATCATAAAAGATGTACCTAATATTTACAACTATGAAGTACCCAAGTACAACATCAGAGAATATGACAGGGCCGAAACCATCTTCAGAGTCTTCGCTGAGCCAAGTTCTCCCATTGATCCTGCTCCCGAAAAGCAGAGAACTCCAACCACAGTTAACACCAAGGAGGTGGTTGACATAAAAACGCCAACAGAATCTCCAGTAGTCGAAGAGGCTCAGAAGACATTCACTATTGTCGTCGATGAGGTCAAACCAGAGCCAATCGTTGCGGCTCCAGTGCTTGAAGAATCCAAGACAATCACAACCGTAGTTACCACAACCACTGTAACTGAGAAGGAGACATCCAGCGAAGAAGGACAACGACTTCATGGAGTTGTTGGGCTTGGGTACGTCAAGGGTCTTGTCGGGTTCTTTGGTCGGATGCGGCCGAACGGACACCTGCTAAGTAGATCGAGAACCTACCTACAGGACCTACTTGGGTACTTGAAGAGTCTACTGCTTCTCCTTCCTGTCCCTGAACCTGTAAAGGAGGAACCTGTCGTCGAAGTTACAAAGTCAGTGACAATTGTCGAGGAGGTCAAACCTGAGCCAATCGTTGTTCGAGGTCACCAACTTCTCAGGTTCTGTTAGTGTTGGCAGCAATCGTGTTGGTGACATTGACTCTTCCTTCTACTTCGATATGGACTTGGTGTTTTCCTCCTCGGACAGCAGCGTCAATGTTTCAGTCACTGTTAACAGCTCCTCCAGTTTGGACTCGGTTAGCAACTTCGAGGTCACCAACTTCTCAGGTTCTGTTACACAACCGTCGTTAGCACAACCACTGTAACTGAGAAGGAAGATGAAGCTATACCTGAACCACAAAAGGAGGAGCCTGTCGTCGCAGTTACAAAGTCAGTGACAATTGTCGAGGAGGTCAAACCTGAGCCAATCGTTGAAGCTCCAGTTTTTGAAGAGTCCAAGACAATTACAACTGTCGTTACCACAACCACTGTAACTGAGAAGGAGACATCCAGCGAAGTTCCTGTTGCTGAAGTACCTCAACAACCCGAACCCATGCAGTTCCCAGAACAGCCCAAGAAACCAGCCTACGCCGGCTTGCCTGTGGACGATTCATCTAGCTCTTGGATGGATGTCCTGGATGAACCCATGAACTTCTCAGATGACGAAGAGGAAGCTGTCCCTGAACCTGTAAAGGAGGAACCTGTCGTCGAAGTTACAAAGTCAGTGACAATTGTCGAGGAGGTCAAACCTGAGCCAATCGTTGAAGCTCCAGTGGATGAAGAGTCCAAGACAATNAGCCCAAGAAACCAGCCTACGCCGGCTTGCCTGTGGACGATTCATCTAGCTCTTGGATGGATGTCCTGGATGAACCCATGAACTTCTCAGATGACGAAGAGGAAGCTGTCCCTGAACCTGTAAAGGAGGAACCTGTCGTCGAAGTTACAAAGTCAGTGACAATTGTCGAGGAGGTCAAACCTGAGCCAATCGTTGAAGCTCCAGTGGTTGAAGAGTCCAAGACAATCACAACCGTCGTTAGCACAACCACTGTAACTGAGAAGGAAGATGAAGCTATACCTGAACCACAAAAGGAGGAGCCTGTCGTCGCAGTTACAAAGTCAGTGACAATTGTCGAGGAGGTCAAACCTGAGCCAATCGTTGAAGCTCCAGTGGTTGAAGAGTCCAAGACAATTACAACTGTCGTTACCACAACCACTGTAACTGAAAAGGAGACATCCAGCGAAGTTCCTGTTGCTGAAGTACCTCAACAACCCGAACCCATGCAGTTCCCAGAACAGCCCAAGAAA